CAGTAGCAGTGAAATATGTGCCAGAGAACTGGATGTGAGTTCTTCAGAAAGCATCTGCTGCTTGCTTTAAGAGCTGGCCTGTGTCTTCAAAGGCAGCAACTGTCGGGAATGGCATATCCCTTTGCTACTTATTTTGCCTCTCTCGATATAACTCAGATAGAAGAGCTGGTGATGCAGGACAACTTAATAAAAACAATTACCTAAGACAAACCAGGCAGGGTGTGAGAAACTATAGAAAAGGACACAGCAGACTAATGTTTTTTTTCATGAGTTCATTCAGCATGTTGCAATTTGATGTGTTCATTGTGAGACATCATGCTAACACGACATACTAGCTTAAATATGCTTTTGTCTCATGTGATCATGGCTTACACAATCGTTTCAATTAAAGCTTGCACTGTTTCTGGTGCTCATAATATTGAAAAACAGATTTGCTGTACTGGATGCATTTCTGCTTAATCAACATGTAAATGGATCAACTGAAAGGTGACAAAATACAGTCCAGTGTAGATGAGGCACAAATGTATTTTGAGAATTCAGAGATGCCTTTCAGAGGTAAATTTAAGCATTCTGTAAATGATAATGAAGAAGAGGTATTTTGTGATGGGGAGACCCCTGCTTTATGCTTGAGTTCTGTATCTTGTTCCTCAGGCACCTGCACTTCTACATGAGCTCTTAATCAGTGTATTCCAGGCCTTTCTTTTTGATGCACTTGCACTTCACCTACTGGTGAAATTATAGTGCTCTTCTGCATTTCTGGTGTTCATGTTGGAAAAAAATGTTTGAAAATTATTTTGTTTAAGTGTTCATTTTTTTTTTCTTTTCCTTAAATAATTTCTCCTGTCTTGTCAGATTTGTCAGCCTTAATAACACGTAAAAGTTTTGGTAGGGAAAACTTTCAGTAGCAGTTTTACACTTACTTTTACAACTGTTGTTATTCCTGGAGCTTTAGCAAAATCTAGAACAAACTCCCTTATCCAGATTCTGTCTTTTTCTTTGCAGCAGTTGTGGAACATTTTTGTTGATTTTTTTTTCAGCCCTAGACTACTCTCTGCAATATCACATTTCAATACTAACCATTTATAAGCACAGTTACTAATGTGTTTGTAGTGATTTTGCTATGAATGTAGCGAACAGGACTGAGATTAGCTTTATTATAGAAGCAACTGATTGTGTGTACTTGCAGAGCCATGTTGCAAAATGCCTGCAAACATAATGTCGCCCTCCCGTTCTCCCCTCTTCTCCTGATTAAGGTTATGATTGTCTGAGATTAGCAATATACATTGAGGGATTTCTGGATGATTGGAAATAAGGTGTTCTTTAGGATGTTTGCTAGTGTGGACAGATACTTGAAATAAGTGATACAAGGTACCTGGCAAAAATCAGGTACCTACCAAGGTAGAGGCATACAGTTTAAGGAGAAGCTGACTGATTATTTTTTTTTTTTAATGGAAAGTTCAAAATTCTTGACGGCTTGTGGGAAATGTTAAGAGAAAAATGTCCTTGCAGTACGTTGGTGGTTATGTGTGACAAGCTTAGGAACATAATAATGACCAGAAACTAGTGTTAAATACCCTGTTAGAGTATAGCATCAGAACAGGTTTGTGAAAGACAATAGCCTTATAATAAATTTTTAAATCCAACTTCTAGATGGTAGATACTGTGTTACATTTTGCAAAAGGGTAGTTCACAAATTAAAGGTGTATTTTGTTTAAAGCATGGCATTTGGGAAGTATATCATGAATAGCAGGCCTCAATTTTCTTTGGAGGCTATTTGTTCAATATGGAGAATTTTGTTGATGCGCCTTGTATCAGCAAATCCCACAGGACAGTAGCGTTGGAAAGTCAGCGATGAGAAAAGCATAGAGTCTACTGGAAAAGCTGCTGTCTCCTGCCTCCATGCTTTATACTTGTAACATAAGTATAGGAGTTTTCCATCGTAAGCTTATCATGTTAGGTATCCTGTCACGTGGGACATTGTATTTGCTACCTGAATCAGGAATCCCTTTGCAGCTGGAAGTAATGAGAAGCTAAAGAATGGAAAAGGTTGGCAGAAGAAGGGAACGACTGGGTTACAACAGAAGTTCAACAAAAATCCAAGGAAAGAGCACTGAACTCTGGAATCTAAAGAAGTTTTGAGACTAAAAAAATTTTGATTCTGAAAAAATTTTGAGTAGGTCTTATGTTGCGCAAATGGGATAAATCTAAGAGACAAATGCTGTAATTAAACTACAGTTAGTTGTGAGTCAGTAGACACAGTGGAAAATCATTTGCTGCAAGTCTTACAAGATGCCAAAAGCACTAGATAGCACTGAAAGCAGTTCTGAGATCAGTTGTGTAAAGTTACTAGAAGAAGGAAAAAAAAGGGGGCATGAGAGTGTGGAAACGGGTAGATAAATGCTGATCCCAAATTGGTTAGAGGAAACCAAATGGTCTCTGTGAGTTCAAGCAGAAGTGTCTGTAAAAGTTTGAATCTGGTCAAGGCCTTTTCAAGTTAAGCATAGTTCCATTCTCAGTGATTTTCTTAAACTTATATCTAATCAGAATTTTCCATTTTCCTACTTGTGTCAGTTACCTTTAGCCTTGTCTATACCATAGAATCATAGAATGGTTTAGGTTGGAAAGGACCTTAAAGATCATCGAGTTCCACCCTCCCTGCCATGGGCAGGGACACCTCCAACTAGACCAGGTTGCCCAAGGCCATGTCCAGCCTGGCCTGGAACACCTCCAGGGATGGGGCCTCAACAACCTCTCTGGGCAACCTGTTCCAGTGCCTTACAATCCTCAAAGTAAAAAACTTCTTCCTAATGTTTAATCTAAACCTGCCCTCTTCCAGTTTATATCCATTCCCCCTTCTCCTGTCACTACATGACCTAGGAAAAAGTCCTTCCCCAGCTCTCCTGTAGGCCCCCTTTAGGTACTGGAAGGCTGCAATAAGATCTCCCCAGAGCCTTCTCTTCTCCAGGCTGAACAGCCCCAACTCTCTCAGCCTCTTCTCATAGCAGAGTTGCTCCAGCCCTCGGATCATCCTCGTGGCTCTCCTCTGGACACGCTCCAGCAGGTCCATGTCTTTCTTATGCTGGGGACTCCAGAGCTGGATGCAGTACTCCAGGTGGGGTCTCACGAGAGTGGAGTAGAGGGGCAGGATCACCTCCCTTGACCTGCTGGCCACAGTTCTTCTGATGCAGCCCAGGATACAGTTGGCCTTCTGGGCTGCGATTGCACATTGCTGACTCATGCTGAGCGTCTGGTCAATCAGCACGCCCAGGTCCTTCTCCTCAGGGCTGCTCTCCAGCCATACCCCACCGAGCCTGTATTTGTGCTGGGGATTGCCCTGACCCAGATGTAGGACCTTGCACTTGGCCTTGTTGAACTGCATGAGGTACTGAGGATGGCAGTCCTTATGCTTCATAATAAGTATGAAAAATGCAAAGAAGAAAATAACATTATCAACACAAGTTTAATTGCTTTGTATACGTAATCCTCTTCAGAAGCTTCAAACCTTGCCACATTGAAGAAGTAAATGTTTACATTGTAGTCAAGTGCTTACACTATAAAGTATTTGTATTCTTGTGCAGAAAATTTATAGCTTACTATGATACAGAGAAAGTTAAAGTGATTTTATGCAACTGAATTCATTTTTAAATCTGCACTTTAAAAATACATCTATTAAATATCGCTATCAAAATGAAGATTAAGACAAATGATGAGACTTCAGTAATTATTCATGGCTATTAGTGTTGGGTTTGCAGGCACAGAGTGCCCATAATGTCGTCTCTCAGTTCCATGAAAAAGGACTTTTAAAACAACCACTGGTAACTGACTTCTGCAGGATCTTCTTTGATAAGTGTAGTGACTGATAAATGTGGCATGAAGAATTGCTTTTATAAGCCAGTAGTCCCAGAATTAAAGTGTTATCAGGATTGCTAATAACCTAATCTGAGTTTGAGATACCCATTATCATAAGTTGTTAGTCGTGAATTCCCATCAGAGCTATTTTGTCAGACCAGGCTACCATAATGATGATGTTTTTTATTCATAGCAAGAATATTTTTGTTTTGATATATGTACCACTATCTGATTCTTTATTTTTTTATTATTATTTGGAAGGGTACAGGCTCTTAGAGGTTTGAAAAATACTGAGAATTCTGGATCACATTAAAGAAAATGCTAATCTTGCATATATGATGGGGCCAGTTAACATATTTAACTGCTTTGCTCTCCCTGGGCTGTTATACTGCAACCCTGATTATAATGGGGTGAGAGGTGAACGGGGCATTGAATTTATGCCAGGATATGTACATGCTAGCTAATCTTACTTAAAAAGAAATGAAATTTTAACTGTAAATTATACCGTATGGGAAAATATTATGCTTCAGAAATTTGTCTTGCTGGATTTAGGAAAGAAATAAGAGTGAGAAAAGAATCTGAGAAGAAAAGAGGTAGTATGGGGGGTTGTGTGTGTGTGTGTGGTTTGTTTTTTTTAAAGAACATTACTGGATTTGGAAAAAATAGAGTATTTGCAGTGAGGTACAGGTAAAGTATACACTCTTGTCATCAGAACAATCGTTTATGTATTTGTTCAGCCTTACATATATTCTGTTTAACTTCTAGATAAAATATAAAACTTATTTGAAAACAATAATGAACTAAAAATACATTTTGTTGGTACCAGTCACTGGCAGCAAACAAAGTTCTAAAGCCATGGGATACTTTTTTGCATATTTAAAAGGCTGGTAATCTAATTGTAAAGCTAAAACACAGGGGATTAGATTGCAGAATGAGATTCCCCCTTCCATAACACACTCTGGCTTCCAGTGCAGCAGTAAACCATTTACTGGACGAAAGCTGCTTGATTTTTTTTTTGAACTAATTTGCAAGAAAAGAAAAAATAGTGTGAAAATTCTAAAAAAAAAAAAACACCCCAAAAATTAAACCGCCCATAGCAGTAGAAAGAATATTCAGATTTTTCTCATCTTGATTTTTCCTTTCTTTGACAGTGACTTGTTGTCTTCCAATTATGTGGAGATTCACTATGAAGATGGAAAACCGAAGTTTTCTAAGGTATTGTGCCCTTAAAATGTGTCAGAATGGTCTTTCTGAGGGAGCAATACCAAGAAATTGTTAAAAAAAGAAAAAAGTTTTGCAAGACTTAAAAACACTAGAAGCCTTTTCCCACACATACGAGATAACTCCGATCTCATCTTGTAAGGATACCTCAGTAATACAAGAAGAATTGTAAAAAAGAGGAAAGCTGTGCTGGGGTGAGGGGTAGGCAGTGGTAGGTGGTAGATACTGCCAGATACTGCCCAAACAATTATGTCTTGTAAAATGTAGAGGGTGGAGGGGTTGAAGTCACCATGAGTATAGTCTTCATTAATTATTTACATGTCCTTAGCACAAAGTGCAAGTGGAAGGGATAATGGTAATATAAGATGTTCAAACAAACAAAAAAAAAAACTTGCAGTGACTTTTCCTTGCAAGAATTATACAGTTGTGAAACAGAATATGAAGGACTTAACTCCAGAGGTTAAAGTTTCAGTTATTACAAAACCAGCATATTGCTTAACATCAATGAATTTGTCAAACTAGCTCCCAAATTGCATTCAGTGCCATAGGCTATTGATCCAAAGACAAAGAGATTAAAGTTATGCAAGATAGTTCAGCCCTTACTAATGGAACCAGATCAATCTTTTTGTTTGTTGCGGTAACAAAATGAAGACTGGTAGGTTCCCAGGAAGGTTATAAACGATATTTTCAGGGAGTGACTTTTTTCATATTTGGTATAAATGCTGGAATATTTGTTGTGAGCTTATTACATGTGAAATATATTTCTATTTAGAGTGGAGGGAAGCAAACATTCAAGTTGCATTTATGCCTTCAGAAGTTGGGACTGTTGTTTGTCCAGTTATTAGGTGTCTAGTTTATTATTTTGCCCTTGTTATAGAGGATCTCAAACAAAACTATATTGCAGGTCAGGGCAAAATTAAACAATTACATTGCAATAAAATTATTGCAATATAGTGTTTTGTTTTCCTCCACTGAAGAAGAAAAATAGTTTCACGTGACATACTGAGGAAGTTGTTTCATTAAGACTCAGTACTTTGCAGAATAGGCAAAAATGCTAAATGATGCAAGAAAACAATTCCCTCTGGCATTTAGACAATCTCATGCAATTGTCAGCTGCAGTGCTATCATTGAGCACTGCGGTTGCTGAATCATGAATCTGACTGGAAAATTATATTAGAACTTGAGACTCAGCAAATGGGCTAGCTTTGCCTGCTGCAGTAACTTGATCCAAACTTCCTAGGGGATGTTTTCTGAATCGATTTATTTAGAAACAGTAATAGAGCTTCTGAGGTCACGTTAATCTGTAAAAGGCTTCATTATAAGTTCAGAAAATATACACACAATTTGTGTAGAAGATCAAATAAGAACGGTATCCCGGTCTTTTGCAGTATCTTCTAATCCTTTTTAGACCTTATGTGATTAACTATAAGATTGTTTTGTTTCCTGATGTGGATGTAAAGAAGCGAGATCTTGATGAAAAGTATTGTATTTTCCATAAAGGGATAATTTATTACAAGAGTGAAAACACTGAAGAACAAACAGCAATTTCTTTACTTGGATGACTGTCTTTTAAAAAAAATTCTTGAAAAGCTACTCATGTGAGAGAGATAATCATGATTCAGTTGCTAAAAAAGCATGGCTTATGCATTCTCACTGATGGAAAGGTAAATATGTAGTGATTGCTTTCTGTGTAGTACTTTGATTTAATTATGCACAATAGTCTGTTAGGAATTTCTTTCAGAAACTGAATAACTCATTAAATAAGATGCAAAATGGCAATAATGCTGTGCATACTTAAACAAAGAGAATTTTACATTTTACATTCCTTGAGTTATAATAATTACAGAAGGAATGGGTCCAATATGCTTGTTGGAATTCACATGATGTGACACCAGAATTAAGAATATTTTGATGATGAATGGTGCGTTTTTCAAACAGTGTGTGAGACCCAACCACACTTAAGGGTTTTTAATAAAACTTTTTGAGAATACTTTTTAGTTTAGCTGGGATTGTTGTTGATAGACTTTAAAAATAATTTGAAAAGAAAACCACTGCAATTCTGTTTTGTGAGACTTCGTCTTGTCACTCTGTCTTAGGTGTGTTCTGAGCGTGCTTGAAGTTCTCTGCCCACTTTAAAGAGAGCTTAGACAGCTTAATTGCTTCAGGAGAGGAGATCTCAACTTATCTCATTCTATGACGAAAACCAGGCAGGTCCAGGGAACCTGCACTTTTAATTCAGAGGAAAGCGCGTAGCATTCACTAGAGTTTACTTGGCATCTAAGCAAGGCTTTTCTGGATCAGAACTTTAAGATTTTAAGTATGTACTAATTCTTCCCTGTGATATTTTGGTCTCCTGCTTGGTCCTGTTCCCCCCGCACCAATATATACACATTCTGCAACTTCCCTTATGTTCTTCTGGAGAAGTGGAAGACTATATATAGGGTCTCACTGTACGCCCATTTGGTAGCACATTTTGCACTAATTCTATTCAACCTAATCCCTGCATCAGTTGACTGTTCAAATCTTGCATTGCAGCATCCAGCAGGGTCTCCCTTACTTCATATCATTAGGGTCTTTGAGAACTGAGGTTTTGGATCACAGTTTTGGTTGTAGTTTGCCTAATTTGGGGTTTTTTTGTAAAGTCTCTAACATCTAAACACATTTGTAGGTAATTTAAATGTTGTTTTTTAAATAAAAGGCAAGACCTTGTAGAAAACATGATTGCTGACTTCCTTAGAGAAACACAAAAATCCCGCTGTTTTTTGAATCATTTGGGTTTTGCATCTATTTGGAATTTTATGCAGTTAAAATCAAGAGTTGACTTTTAGTAGCCTTTTGATATGTACAGTAAAAACGCAACTGCACGCTTTAGTGTTGCTAAACTGGATTCACTTTCTGGCTCATTCATCATTAGTGATATTGCTACCTACAGTCTAATGATGTAACATTTTAATTGATAAATTTTCAGTGAGACAAAATTGGTAGAATCCAGATCTAAGCCAAAATATATGCCATGTGATTGCTGAACACTATCACTTGTAATTTTAACGGACCTGGAAGGCATCAAGATATAATTCGATGCTCACATAAACTGCTTTACGTAACATTTTTACAGAATCGGTTTACAGCAAAGAAATGCACTTAAAAAAAGATAAAGAATGATGTACTTCAACAAAAGAATAACCCATGTTATGGCTTGAAGACTTACGTAAATTAGTCTTCACTGGGCACAGTTTTTCTCTTATAAGCAATTAGGGCTAGTCATTGGTATTTACTTTAGCAATCACTGCTTTCTCTGAAATTTTACCTAATGCAAGGTGTTAGATCTTTTTTTGCCTTGGTTTCAAGCAAAACATTGTATCAGGGTAATTTTGTGTGTGTGATTGTTTGTTTGTTTCTAAACCTTATTAGGGTGGAGAGCATTGTTACTACCATGGAAATATCAGAGGTATCGAGGATTCCAAAGTTGCTCTTTCAACTTGTAATGGACTTCAGTAAGTGCATGATGTCATTTTTCAAACAAGGCCATTAACTAATTCTTACTCTTGAATATTATCTCTTAATATGTGAGAGACTGAAATTCTACAGGCCCAAAGATTTTACATGCTTTGAAATGCCAGGACCAGCTATGCCAAACTGCTAGCATTTTTCTTAGTATCATTGGGATTAAAGTCTCTTGATGCTGTCCCATGAAACCTTTGAATATGGTAAGCGCAAACAAATTTTTCACTAGATGACTTATTATGGTAAAGGATAAACAAGAATTGTACTTTAGCGGTTTGCACGTTCAGTATTCATGTATGATTCTGTCAGCCAATAGCAAAATCTTTTTGGTAGATTGTACAAGGAAAAAATGAAAGAAATTAGTCCCTACTAGGATCACTTACTGTTAAGTGCAACTCAGCTGGTGATTATATTCTGCATGCTAATGCATGTCTTAGGACTTCCTCTTTCCAAAAGTCAAATCTTCACCCTTTTTGGTGCTTTATCCTTACATTGCCATTACATTCAGTGTTAGTTCATTAAAATGTGCCTCACCTCTTAGAAAAAAACTAATCTTAACTTTAGCCACATGTGGTAGTAATGAACATACATAGAATTTATTTTAATATTGATCAGTTTTTCAGCCCTAAGTTTGGGCTTCTCTTGTCAAAACTCCTGTTCTGGAGTCAAATTAATTGCTCTGTATTCCTAAATATCACTTCTTTTTCTCCATGTTCTAGTGGTATGTTTGAAGATAGTACTTACTTGTACTTGATAGAACCACTGGAACTGACCCACAGTGCAGTAAGTCTATTTTTATCTAATTTATTTGGTTTGGGAAAGAGAGTGCTCAAGGAATAGCAAATAAAGGTATTAGAACAAATCAATAAATAAGTCACCTCTCGCATTCAGTTGTATGAAAAACAAAAGTTTTTTAAAAGACTTGATTGGAATTTATTTAAGGCAAGAAATGTCCAAGTATGAATTACCTAAGATTTTTTTCTGCTTTCTTAAATCTTTCTTTTCCTAGTTATTGTTTATCATTTAGATGTTGGGAGTAGATTAATAAGACTGTTTCCATAGCAAGTGGTTATGGATTATCAAAAAGTGTTTATCAATTTGCTCTAGTACTTGAACAAAAGGACTTAGAAATTCATAGAAGGGATCTCTAGAAGTCATTTATTCATCCCTCTCTAAATAGTTGGATCAGATTGCTCCAAACTCACCATGTTTCCACAAAGAACTTAATGAAATAGACAATTATATCTGGTTATTTTACACTTTATACGTGTTAAGTCAGTGGTCGCTGTATAGCTTAAATTATTCTCATCCAGCATATTCAAATATATAACTATGCTGCATCGGCATGTAGGACTGCATTTACACAAATACCTGGCTAACTATTATTGGTTTTGTACTTATGTTAAGTATTATAATACAGCTGTTTTTAAAACTTTAGCTGTTAGTAGAAGTGACTCAATTTCATAGACAGTAGTAAACCAGGTAGATTTCTACCTCTGGAATGGTTCAAAGATTTGAGTGATTTTCAGTGAAAAGATTGTGCAGCATTGAGACAGAGAATTCTTAAGGTTTGTACCCTACTTGGTCTGTAGGATGTATTCCAGATGTTGTATCACAGCTGTCACCTTGTCTTGCTCTAGTACTTACCAGTATATGACAAATAACATGATGCTGCAGAGCTGATATGTTTTATTGACTGTAAAGCTGAACTCAACAGTCCAAAGAAAGATCTGCAAAATCTTTGACTCTTGACACTTTCAAGGAAACTAGATCAACATTCAGAGGAATCAGTATCGTTTGGATGGTCAGTTGTTGGACGGTAAATGAAACTGTAGAGACACAGGAAAATGTTACATCCAAAAAGATTTCTTAGACTCCTCAGGAGCAATATTACATTGCCATGTGTTAAGCTATGTAATGCATTTTGATGTAGCACATATTAATAAAAGTTGTAAGGCTGAAAATTGACAGCATAGACACAGCAAATTCATGGAGATTATATTTATACAATGGTATCCATACCGTAGGCAGAGGAGAATTTGATTTAACTGTTTACTTGTTTGGGTGGACAAAGGAAACCAGGATCTGCCTCTTAGTGTGATATTTCAGTAAAACTTGGAAGTAGAGCAAAAGTTCTAGTTAGAAAAGTGAGATCCCATCTGCCAACTCTGTTGAGGATTCAAGCGCAATTGTAAATGATAAGAAGACAGATGAGATGAATATTTTTCTCAAAACTATTGAAGATGAAAATAATGCAGCTACAGAGAGCTTCCAGAGACTCATTTTTTGATTGTACTACATAAGTATCTTGAACAAAGCCTTCAGCATGTAGTTTATTCAGCTTGATTAATCTTAACTATAGTTGCTACTATATAAAACTTTATTTCCCCCTGCCCCCCAAAAAAAACACCAGCAAAAATATGTGGTATTTTCCTTCAATGTGTTATGTGTTTCTTAGAGAACCTACAGACCAGTAGCATCCTGCCCTTTGAAAAGAATTGCTTGTTTTGGCAGGCTCTGCAGAGGAGGTGTTACAGAAGAAAAAACAGTTGTTTTCTAGAGCAGATACCAAAATGTGATAATTTGGGGCATGTCAGACTTCTAAAGAAAATATGCATTAAAAGTTTTCTCCTTTTTAAGTGTTGAATACACCAATAAGACAGGGTGAAATAATTCTCTTAAAGATAGTGTATTGATTTAGTTTCTTGCATTTTGCAGCAATTAGAAAGATATATTTTTTCATAAATAGTAATAGCTGCTTTTCATCTCTGGAACATTTCAACTAGATATATACTTCTAATTTGATTTATTGGAATAAATGGTCTGTGTTCTCTAAGACTAAGGCTTTTAAAGGACTTTTTTCAAGTAATCTCAAAGACATCTGTGATACTTCAGTTTTGTGGGGCAGTGAATGTGCTGCAGCAGAGAGGCTCCATGATTTGATCAGGATTGAAAATAGATTGCTTCAAATTAGTATTATGTCAAATTGGTACTATGGTTGCTTGTGTTTTATGGAAGAATAATAAAAATGATAAATACTGAAAGAAGTGCCTCACTTTTCACTTGACATTTTTAATTACAAGAAAATATCACTTATTTTTCTTATCAGGAAAGTAAAAGTAGGCCACATATCATCCAAAGAACTTACGGAACACAGGCCTCCAAACAGTTGCAGGACCTTGGTATGTTTTTGTTTATGTTATGAGTTATTCAATATTGGAAATAATTGTATATATAACTTGAAGCATTTGAATATTAGGCTAACAGTCTGTTTAAAATTGCTGATAATTTAGAAAAACCTCAAAAAATAGATACTAACCTGACTTTTTTCACAATTATTGCAATGGAATTCAGAGTTGTCAAAAAGTAGCTGAAAAAATTCCATCCATGAAGACCTGTATTTAATTTTCTTCTGCAGATCATTTAATTTAATCAGTGATACTAATACTATTGAGTGCACAAGATGGAAGAAAACATATATTCTAAGCCCAGGTTACAATCTTTTTACTTCCCCTTGCGTGGTTTAATTCCAGTTTTGGATGTCTAAATTACTTGAGTTTTGATATGTAATGTTTTACATTTTGTGTATTTTAAAAAATGAATTTTTCAATATCAAAGTTCTTCTAATTTTGATGATCTTAATCTACTTTTGGTTTCGACAGTTTACTTAAGTAGTTTAAAATAATGCCATGAAATTCTTAAATTGTAATTTGTACAGAGACTGAATCTAGTTCTGAATGGCCCTTTCTGTCTGAACTGCAGTGGCTGAGAAGAAAGAGAAGAAAGAGAGCAGTGAGTAGAAGTGTGACCCTGAGTTAAGACCATTCATAAAACCAAACCCATTAATTTCCATATTATTTAATGTTGAGAGAACATAGACTTTAGAAAGCAAATATCATTGGTAGCTTAATATTGTCACATAATACAATGATAAAACAAGAATATTATTCTTTAAAAAATAGTGCACTTGGAGAAAAGTGGATAAACTTTCTAAAGTGACAGCAATACTGTATATCAACTGAATGGAAATTTAGTAGTTAAAATGAGTTTAGAATTTTAAGTGTTGAGTCTGCTTGAGGAAAAAGAATAATTTTGAATGAAGTCTTACTACTTTATAGATGTCTGACTTTATTTTCATTTGGCTGGTTAAGTAACATGATTAAATTAAAAATCCAAATGAGGACACCCAGAACTGAGTTATTGAGAGAACAGAAGTGGACAGTCCTCATGATCTGCACGTGCATATGTGTCAGTTAGGGGACTCAACTAGTTAAAGAAAATTAATCTGTATTTCTTCACTGAGTTGCGCAATCCACAGCGTATTTTTTGAGGACACATCGTTATTAGTAACTTTCTTCCTCATTAAATCTGTGATGAATAGTACATTAGACTGTACAGTTTTTATTGTTTGAGATTTTTCTGCTTTGTGAAAATAAGAGAATAGGGAAGCAGTGGTGGCATCTGTGCTGCACAAAAAAGAATAGACTCTGTGAGTCAGATTCTCAGCCAGTGTCTATCATAATTCATTAAGTTACTGGAGCTATGATTATTTACCCTAGTTGAACCTCTGACACAGTTTTTACAGGTTTACACACCCTACGTAATATTTATGGGTAATCCTATTAAATCAGCTGCAGTTAATTTTGAAAATCCCTACATCTTCATGATTTCTCAAAGAATTTCTTTAATCCATCAGGTATCTCGTGGTATCTTTGAAGAAATGAAGTATCTGGAGCTCATGATAGTCAATGACCATAAAATGGTAAGTATATCAGTTCAGTGGTAATCTTCCTTTTGAATATAATTTGTAGGTTGATATAAAGCACTGTGCTGCATCAGCTACTCCTCAGTCAAATATTTTATCAGCAGCTGTTAAATATTTGTACTGTAAGACACAGTATAGGCCATAAGACGTAATAATGATCAATGTTACCTACAATTTTCTACAGCAATTATATATTCAAAATACATCTGAAAGACTTTGGTATCATATGGATAATTCAATATGCCCATAACCAACAAAGTAAAGCAGCAAAGCTTTTATGTCCAGAACAAACACACTAAACATTCTAAAATTGCATCCTATCCTTAAAGTAATAAAGAAAGAGGTCAGAACTTGCTACTTTCAGTTTAGTTTTACTAACTTAAATTTTAATGCAGCAAAGCATATAGAAAAAACTATCTGATGCTTCTTCCTGGCTATTCCACACTTTTAAACAGGATTTATAGTGAAATGCAAGATAAGTTGCTTGTTTGATTCAGAAAGTGTTTGTCATTTGATTTTAGGAATGAAAAAAATAAAAAAAAAAAAAAAGAAAAAGCCCCACCCCTCTTTCTTTTCCTTTTCGTCTTGAGGGATGACTGGAAAAAAAATCAGACCAAGTGACATTTGTTATTTAGATGTTACTGCTTTCACTAATTATGTCAAATAAGGCTATCAAAGTCTCCCTGTGTTACCCTTGTGAAAAATCAAGACAGAGGGGCCTAGGGAGTAATAAGTTTTGTAAACCTAAACAACTATTTTATTGACCCTTTTTGAAAAGCGCTACAAATTTAAGTTCAATATCTACATTTTAACTAGAGCATATCTGCTATGGAAAAATACTTAGTGTAGGTTTAAAAGTTTTCTAGTAACAAAGAATATACTGCAACCAACAGTGAGTTACTCTTAAAAACAACTTGATTATGCCTTGTTTTGGGCCCTTGTTTTGCTCAGTTTTCTCAGCTATTGATTGACTAAGAGGCAAATAAGGATCATCAACTCTTAGTGTGACTTTGCCTCTCTGTGAGCAAGACCTTTTTTGTTAAATCAAATTCTGTTGATAAAACAATTTCTGCTTATATTGTGTGCAAGTAAAACGAACTTTTAAGTTTCTGTAGGAGCTCCTCTCACTCTACTGCATGTTTTCCCAATACTTTATGTTGCTGTGGGCTCTTTTGTCAACACTGAAGGATGATTTTAAAGAGCCAGAAATAGCAGATATCAGGACAGGATGCACTATTTTGTACTTGTTCCAGTGCTGAATAGACAGATAACACAACCTTCCCTCATCTGTTTAATAAATCATAGAAATAGTCTGGGTAAAAATAACCTATATTTAATCTATGTCAATTCAGCAATGTGGGGGGAATTCAAATGAGTGGAAAGAGTAGGACATGAATTTCTTTAACTATTTTTACTTGTAAAGCTGCCTGGTAGGAAACTATTCTGTGTTCACGTGTTAGTTGTTTAGGGCTAGGGCACAGTAACTGAAGTTATGGACCTTTTGTTGTCTTGTTTGAGGTCTGTGGTTGGTATTCCTTATGAAGAGATAGTATTTCTATGGCTGTTTCCTCTGGCCTCTTGTATTATAGACATGCTTAAAGGACAGCTGTCTCTTCACTACAGTTGTTACAGACACTAACTGTTGTCTCTTCTCAGGCTTTATTTGTTAGAACTTCAGACCACAAGCATTCAAGATTTTTTGCTTCAGAGTTGTCAGTGACTCAGAATCAGATAATAATTCTTTTCAATTAATAAAATGGATATACTTAAGAAGTGTTCACAATTACAAGTTAAAGCCTTCCAATCCAGGAGCTCCATGTACTTTTAAGGTTTTCTGCTTACCAGTAGAGGGCAGATTTCTCCTGCAGGAAGGTTCTGTGGTGGAAGAAGTATCTTAAACCTCTTTGGCCATTGTGTTAAGTGGTTAATACTATGTGTTTTCACAAAATTTTCCTTTCCTATAACATTAAAGACACAGCTAAACATATTTAATTAGGTTGTTTCTCTTTTTACTGACTTAGCGTAATTTCTGGTTTAGGAGCTGTGTTTAAACACATTATGTTGTATGGCATTTAAATACTTTCATGAAAACCAGAACATTTTCCAAAGGATATTATTTTTCCTTCCCACTTCTGTGAAAGTTTGGGATTGGCTCAAAACAAAAAACCAAAGCCACCCTTTCCCCCTCCCCTGTTATTTTGTTCTAGTATCATGGTTCCCTAGGGACCTGTGATATGGATACTCTGCTCAGTGTACATCCTCAGTGCCTACTAGGACTGTACCTGGAAGTGCTTTGTTTTGAGAATAGTTATATGGGAGGGGGTCTCTGCAAACCTATGTTGTAGGATCTTTGGGTATTAAAACCTGCTGTGGATGCGCTGAAGCATTGTGGAACTTAACAGTGAATAACTGCATGTGTGAAAAATTTATCTTCCTGCAGTCAAACGAATGAGTGTCATCATTAAGTTTGAAAAACTTTTTGTTATCTCTATGGCATTTCATCCATATAAAACAAGATTGCTTTTGTAAAAATAATTGGAATTTAAAGGGATGGAAAATTTGTTATCTAACAATATAGTGTGTATGTCTTCTGACTTTCAATTTGAGAAACAGATAAGCATATGTGTCTTCCAGTTTTACTCTCACCTTTGCACCAAGCATAATCTGGAAAACAGGATTTGTCTGTTTTGTAATTCTGATTTGGGAAGATAGTTAATCATCTAACTTACTTGATGAGAGTAGCTACTCAGTTGCTCAGAGAAGAGTCAGACCTTCTTGTTTCAAGGCCTCTTTTGGGGTACTGTGTTTTGAGTGGGAATAGCTGACACTTTTATGGAACTTGTTAATGTTTGCTCCTGAGGTGATGAGATTTGTTGCTTTTAACCAGTAATTGAAATCAGTAAGAGGTTTTTACCCTCTTTGTTCTATACAATTTTCTGTTCCTTTTCTGTGAAATTTTGAAGACTTATTTTTCCTGCCTGCAAATCATATTGTGTAATGCAGTTTTGGTTTATAGTTTTACGGTTTTTTGAAAGTTACGGATTCATGTTCAGATATCATAGCAGCATCTTTGGAAAATTTGACTTGGAATGCAGGGGACTTGTGGGACAGGATGAGGAAAGACATGAAACAATTGTAATGATATGCACAGAAATTAGGAAGCAGAACTTGTGATAGAGCTCATCTAAGTCTATAGAAATGGAAAAAAATTGAAGTTAAGACTTAAGATACTCAGCTTAACTCTTTCCACATTCAAGCACGTATTTATTTTTACCATGCACTCCCTCTTCCTTTTTGCCTTTTGGTAAAACTAATGCTACTTGTCATAAAAGTCTGGTGCTCTAGTAGAGAAACTATGCCTTTGCAAAGAGCTGTACACAGGCCAAAGTGGTAAATGCTTCATCTTCATGTCTCATAATTACAGTCATGTTATGTGGCTAGTACAGTCTGATATTTAACTCATCAGGTTAAGCACAGTTTTAATTGGTACAGCTTCCTCTCAATTTTGAGCTCATGTTTATGTTCATGTTTACCTGTAATTTTGTCTCGAACATTTGAACTCTGATTCTAAATATGATACTTCTTGTGGCTAAATGGTCCTTTTATAGATGTGAAAGGCTGTCTAGCATACATGGCTTCCTTTATCTTCCAGGAATTCTTGAATATGAGATATAGGCTGTGATCTGAAAAGCTTCTTGAGTTTTTCACTTACTCTTTCTTAAAATACTGATTTTCTTTTCTTACTGTAAAGATAAAGAATTAGTAATAAATATTTAACTTTTCACTGTGTTCTACTTTTTCTTCTCTTTTTAGTTCAAAAAGCACCGATCTTCAAATGCATATACAAACAATTTTGCCAAGTCTGTGGTAAACCTTGTAGATGCTGTAAGTATCAACATTTCTTCTGAAAACTGCATCACTGACTTGTTTACAGTTTAGTGCTGTATTTAAAAAGTTAACATTAGCAGATACCAGGATAAAAAAAATGAGCAGCTATACAAATTACATTTTAAAACACATTTCCAGTTCCTCTGCAGAAGAATAGCCTGGGGTGAATGTGTAAGAAACCACCAGATTATCCTTGGCATTTTTCTCAAAGCGTGCAACTGCCGCAGTTTGCCATTGGCATGGGGGATTTCAAACTTGAAGGAGCTTTCAGTATCTGTCACTGTTTAAGAATGAGATTTAAGCCAGTTTAGATTTGTGAAACAAATCTAACCACAGGTGGTTGAAGCTGCGAGTATAGTTCACAAAGGATGCATATATCTATTGGGAGAAGAAGAGTGTGAATAAAAATTCTCCTTTATAAATCTGTACTTATAGCTTAAAACCCAACAAAATCTCATTGTAGTACATTCTAAATGGGTGACACTGACGCAGATACCATACTTTTATCTGTGACTAAATTTAGAACAATTTCACATACAGCATATAAACTAAAAGTAAGATTTGTAGTAAAATTTGGGGTTTTTTTCTCTCTTTTTGGTATACTTGCAGTGACTACACACATTTCAGAACTGTATTTGTAGTGAAAACTAGATAGATTTTGTAGTAGTGATCAATACAACAGCTAGCAAAATTCTGACTCAAAATCCCCTTTCCATGTGATGTCAATGATACCAATAGAACTGTGTGATATTATTCAGTGCAAAACATTGTCAACAGTTTGTTTAGTTCAGAGGAAGCAATAAAATATTTGTTCTTAATATCTTACATATGAAGTGTTTTGTGTACTGTACATACATTGAAAATATAGACTATATTTATAATACATTAAATACTGGAAATGTTTTGGAATAATTTTGTGTAATGGTTTGAAAATGACAGTATTCTGATGAAAAGTTACTCAAGCAGATAAAAATATTAATAATTGAAATAATATTTCTGCAATTTATATCGCGCATTCCCAAAGAAAAGGTGGCATCTTATTTTTTTTCCTCATCTGATCATTGTTTCTTTGTGTTTCTTCTGCATTTTAACGAAAGTTATTTAATCTGTTTTCCCTTTCTCTGACTATTCCTTCTTTTTTTCCATTCTTACTTGCTTTCTGTGTGTATACAGAAACATTCAACTTCCTCTAGTGTAGAATTCAGTCTCGTCATACAGATCTTGCAAAATGACATCCTAATGCCTTTTCTTTAAACAAAGCATGAAAAGGAGCAGGAATTCTTGCCTTGTTATTCCCTTGTGTTCACAGGGAGTGGACTGTGTTTCTTACTGATACATTATTGGAAAATGGATATTGGCTTTCAGAGGCTTCCAGGTTCTCTTCCCATTTGCTTCAGGAAATAGTTTTCCTCTCAGCAAACACAAGTAAAATCTTTATTGATCCACCAATATATAATTTCTGGGATTTAATTTTATTGATTTTTCTCATGTCATTATCCATTTTCTGTGTACGTCCTCAGCCTGTCTCCCTCAGATTGAAGATTATTAATATTCTTTTTTCTTGGACAAAGTTGAGCTTAGCTGGTTGCTCTCTCTTGCTGCTATATTTTTTGCCATTTTTTCTAAGCTGAATATTATGCATTAGCATTTTTAAGGACAATGCAGCCTTGATACAAAAGACTAGTGTGCTAGTCAGTGCTAGTTTATTCAGTATAAATATCTGTCATAACTGCAGGAGGATATTTGCAATTCATGTTGTGTATTGTAGGTATAATTTGGAAAAAAGGTAATAGAAGCATATATTTAAGATGATGCATCATGAAAGTGACCAAATAATTTGCCCTTTGTGTGTTTTATGCATTAGGCAGCAAATAGATTAATTATCCAGTGCTTTTAGATCATAATTAAGTACAATCAGTAAGTGTTCTGTGTAAGACTTTTGATGGGCAGACTGTCTATTGTGGATAAGGAGTGCATCTTTTGTAGATCTGCAAGTTCTGAATAACCTTAGTTAATAAAATTTGGCATTTTATGACCTGAAACTAAAGAGAGCAGCAGTTTTATTTCAGGATCAAGTATCATGCCCAAAGTTAATATGGATATTCTAAAGCTGTTTTGTATTTATTAGGGCCTGATCGTCGTTTCCTTGTCTATTGCTATAGTGACATTAAAATTCAAAAGAAAAAATTAATATTCTTCATTTTCACACTACTTGAGTAGCATAAAGTGATCATACTATAAAAGAAAATCAAGCATTATGTGAATTAAATTTTGGATATGTTGGAGAACTGAGAAATTATTTAATCTTGACTTAAGAATGGGCTTTGGCTATTCTTTGTCTTCGAGATCTTTCTTTTCTTTTTCTTTGAGATCACCCAGTGTGCCTTTACGTTTCTTCTTTGCTGATTTTTGTACAGGTTTTCTGCAAAACTCAGTGGTGAACTTATTTGGCGTGAGAATTTTAAAGAAAAGGGAGTAGCTCAAAACAAGAGCAACATGGGGGTTTTTTTGTCCTCTAAAACATAAATTTTAAGTTGATCAGAATATTAACTTTTAGGAAATCCAAGGCATTACCAGCTAACTGTTTCACATGTTTCCCTCCTGCTTTATCCCTCTTGTCCTTCCGCTTTACTCTTACTGGCTAACTGTGCATGTTTGACCCAGTGTTCTACTCCTGTGCCTGTCCTGTCTCTGCCCTCAGATATACAAGGAGCAGCTGAACACCAGGGTGGTTCTTGTTGCTGTGGAAACTTGGACAGACAAAGATCGTATTAATATTCACCCTGACCCTCTGCAGATGCTTCATGATTTCTCCAAATATCGACAGCACTACATCAAACAGCATGCTGATGCTGTGCACCTGCTCTCGTATGTACCATTATACAATGGTTTAGACTATTACAGTTTTATATACTCTTCTGTCTACTGCTTTTGTCTACCTGTCTCTTGCTTACTTTTTTTGCTTTGTAGTCACTGCATCAATCAACGTCTGCCTTCCTTAGGAAGCTTAATCTATTTTTTAACACATACTGTATAGCATGGTCATGTTGATATATATCTATAATGAAATTTTAATGTCTTTGCAACCTGAAGACAGTGTCACATATTTGAAGTCTCTTCTGATGAGCCCTTAAGGACACCTAATTTTGCTAATCAGGTGTGTAATGTACTGCTTTCTAGTAAAGAGCAGGAGAGGGCAGAGCTGGACAGGATTATGTGTTGCTGCAAGAGCATTCCAGTTACTATATTTATTCACATGTGTAACTGCAGTGATGATGTGTTAATGGAAGGTCTACTCCTTTAGAGCTGTAATGAATTGTTTTCTGAGACACAATGCATTTTGAAGGTAAATTCCACTTGCATTGTTAGGCACATCAACCTTGAGCAACACTTCCTGGCGTTGTAAGCAAAGAGGAGGAAGAGTGTGTTCCCCTGTGCAGCATAAAGATCCTAAGCCTTCTCCCAGCAGCACGACATACTATGAGGATGGAGTGATAAATGTCTTCCATGTGATTCTCCTATCATTCATCTCCTGCAGAGGGGATGAAGAATTTACTCCAGCCTCTGTCATAGCTGTGGTGCCTTAATACAGGCATTGCAACACAACACTGCTTGTGTTTTTCATAAGATAAGCAAAGTGCTGATGATGTGCACTCTTTATTATTTTTATGCGTGTATTGTGTCACTTGCTGAAGAGTTTATAAAAAAATAAAAAAATATTTAATTAAAATCATGTGGTATCAGAACCACCCCTCAGTGATTAACCATAAATGAAAGGAGACAGGGTTATAAAGACCAGTATTAAATTACTTTACCCTTAGGTAAACTTCTCAGTCCTTTGGAGTTGAAACTAGAGCTTGAATTGGTTTGGATTAAGAGCATAAGGAAAAAAATTCTTAGCACTGATACATTTCAGTACAGAATTCCTTCTTGACCGATTATAAATTGGAATATATTATCTCTTTAAAGGAAATGTTGTCATTGTATTTTCTTAGGAACCTGGTACTCTAGCTTCCTCTGCTTGGTTTGTTTGTGGGTTGGGATTGATTCTGACTCTACAAGATAAAAATAGTATTTTTGTCAAAGGTGTCTAATCGACTCTTACGGTGTCGGTGTTCTTTTTGTAAACTTGCAGTTGCTTTTGATGTTAGATGAGGATTAATGTTCATGCAATGTATCAAATGTACGTGTGAAAGTGTGATCTTTCAATAAATTCTTGGTGCCCAATATCAATGTGTTATATTTTCTTTATTTTTATTTGTTTCTAAGGAATGTGACATTTCATTACAAAAGGAGCAGCTTAAGTTACTTTGGAGGGGTTTGCTCTGTGACCAGAGGAGTAGGAGTGAACGAGGTAATTTTTTTTTCATGACTAAAGTGAAATAAAATAGAAACTGTGCATTATAACCTTAGAATTTAGTATCTTAGTAGATGTTTCAGTATTCAGGGCTTTAAAGATAACTTACATATTAAAAAGTTAGGATTCTCACATCCAACCTTCTTATATCATCATTAAACTACTGTTCACTGTGCTTTTCTTTTTAAAAAGTGTTCTTCCTGTCTGCATTACTCTCATAATAAGATCTAAAATTGGCTTTTAGTATATTTGACAGAAATTTAGACCCAAAAATCTTGCACAGGAGCATTTGAAACACAGCACTGAACATCGTTTTGTGTCTGCTTACTATAAGAGGCTTGATCTTCTGCAGTGCGGATGCAATTCTTGCATGTAATTCTTACTGACTTTTTTTAACATTAAAACTAGAGAAATTTGGTCCCTATGCACTGATTTTTCTTTTTTATCATTGTTTTTTTTTCCTCAGTGCAGCGTGAAATCAATAATGAAAATCTCCTGTTTTAACATGGGTCAATCATACTGTACAAAACTATATATGTAATATATCAAACACACTCCTTTCTGTAGGTTAACCAGCAGACAGGGATTCTGTCAGGTTGAGAGGAAAATTTTTTTCTGTTACGTACTTCATTGTGTTTATTTTCCTTATGTACACACAGAATTGTGATTGGCTGTACAGAATTACTGAAGTAGTAGGTATGTGGTAAGCTGGAATGAGCTGGTTTAGTGTTCATTATAATAACCTACATTTTCTTTTTTTTTTTTTCTTTATTAATTGTGTTCCTGTTGAAATGCAGTATGGTCTCCCTTTGGCCATGGCACAGGAACTGGCACAAAGTCTTGCTCAGAACCTTGGAATACAATGGGAGCCAGCTGCCAGGAAACCGAGTATGTACATGGACAAGGAGTCGTCTTTTATCCTCCTTAGCTAAATATATAAACTGTTTATTTGTAGTATTTGAAACAAACACCAAACTTGCTGTAACTGTAGAACAAGAATTGCTGCTTTTGGAAATATATGCACCAAAATCAGAGTTTAACCAAAATACGAGCCACCAGTGTAGCACTCGTTTCGCAATGACCTCAGTGATGTCCTGTGTCAGGAGGTTAGATTCACAACCTATATTCAAAGGTATAATTGTAAACCTACCATTAATTTAACTCAGAACTCCTTATCTATCATAATGAAATATGTAATTCCTGTAGAACTATCATTGATGACTTAAAATACAAAAATACTTGATTGATAATTGAAGAAATGGTAAGAAGCTGTAACCTAGTCCAGGATGACATTTGCTCAACTTATTATCTTGCTGCTTCACAGCCAGAAGATTAGACTGACGTGGCCTTAACACATGTAGAGTGTAGGTACAAAAGCTGCTGCAAAAGCCCTTTTCGGGGCTAAAGAAAATTTTTGGGTTTTTCCACTCACATCTTGTAAGGAATTTGGCTACTTTGTCTCTTTGATTCGTCTTTAAAAATGTGAACACTCACTTTATTTTGGAATCACTTCCGAAATCTGTGAGTTAGGAAACTGTGGAAAATTCTAGGGAATATTAATTTGTAAAGCATCGCTTCTGACTTGGGTAAACTTGGAAATTGCTAAAATATTTTCTATATCATTGTTTTTTGATTACAGGTAAAACAGAGTTCATATAATTTGGAAATAAGAATCTTTTTTAACTGTAAGATAGAGGGTTGTAAAATTATAGCCTAGTTTCCTTATTTGAATACTCTTTATAGGGAAAGATTAATGAAAAACCTGGATAGAGCAGAAATAACCATATAAATAATCTGTGAATATTTTCTATGTAGAAGCAGTATGGATTTGCTGCAGTAACTAGAATACAGAATCTTCTCAAAAATATTGATTCTTTGGTAGATAATTTTTATGGGCAGTTTATAACTTCTGTTTTACCAACCATAAGGTGTTGATCGTTTGTTTTTATTTTATGAATTTGGTCACTGGTGACTTACATGCTATAGCTGTAAGTAAACTGTAAATCCATTTTCACTCAACTACTTTTTCTAGTGAATGTTTGATTGGCTGATTCACACATTATTAATTCTATTCCAAAGGGAAAAACCGTGGCCTGTCCAGTAACACTTCTCCTTCAGGGTGTTCTATACACATTTTAGGGACAAGGAAATGTGAAATTTTAATCATCAGTATCTTGCGTACTGCACATAACCTTATGCTTCCTGTTTTGGGAGCATGTAGGGTAGAACTATACCGGCTATTTTTAGCTTTCTATACTGCCTAAAACTGTGGTGAGTCTAAGAATGTGTATATATGGTAATTTGGAAGTACCACGTTTATATTAGGTATATTAGTATCTCTTCAGTTGGGCTGGTTTCCTTTTTAGGGGTAGAATCTGTACAGCCAAGCAACCATCTAATCTTTGTATAATTAGTCAAGGTCCATTTTTATAGTGAGTACTTCATATTTATTGTAAGCTTATTTATAACTGCTTTCCTTTTCTGTTATATTTTGGTCTTGTCTGAGAAGAGTGTGACTGCACTGAATCCTGGGGTGGTTGCATCATGGAGGAAACAGGGTATGTCATAACTATCAGTAATTGAGGGCTCTGGAATGAGTTCATGGTTTACACTATGACATAAATATTTATGTATTGGGTTTTGTCCATGTGTTTTAGTATTAATAAATGAAAAATTAGAAGCAGTTGAAACAACCAAACATACAGATCAATGATTTCAATTTTCAGCAATTCATTCCCTTATTCACGTTTTAGGAAGTTACTGTGTGAGAAATGACTAATAAAGTATGTTTTCATAAGGCTGGGAAAAAGATGGGAATGAGGAAATATGAGAGAAGTCTGTAACATCATGAACAACATAGCAAATGATTACTGTTTTTTCCAGTGTAAGAACTAGGGAGACATGAAACGACACTAGCAAATAGGTGACACAAAAAACAGGATGAAATTGTTCTTCTACCAGTCTGTAATTAAGCGGTGAAACATCTTGCTATAGCATCTTGTAGATGCTAAAAGATTTTGGGCAAATTCATGGGAGAAAATGCAAAGAATTGTATTAAATAAGACAAACCAAGGCTTCCTGAGAAAGTCATTGAGCTGAAAATTGTTGGAAGCTGGAAAAATACTCTGCAAGTAGTAGTACAGGCTCTGTTCTCTACTCTTCCCTGGGCATATTATTAGGGCCAAAATCAGAGATGTGATTTGAGTAAAGTGGATTTTAGTCTGACCCTATGCAGCTGTTCTTTTGGCTACAATGAATTTTACTTTAAAAATTAACCTTATTAACAGGATCAGATGAATTGAACAGTTTTAAAATGCTGGCATGAAATCAGGGATCTGGAATGTAATCCATGTTTTGAACTGAAGCTGAAGGGAAAAGAAACCCAAGAAAACACTGGATTGTGCATGCAATCAAGAGACTGCATAGCAGATACTATGATAATCTGGTTTCACAGTATTAAGAAAATTAGAAGACTATACTTTCATATGCTGTAGATCCATACGATAGAAATATAAACATGCAAAATGTTTAAAATTTTTTTCTTTTGTTCTGATTTTATTGTTTGAGGATAAGACTGAGCTGACATACTGTTGGACACAGTGGTTGTAAGAAACTGGGATTTACAGTATTAAAAAAAATGTTGTGACCCCTCCACCCCCTTCCAGTAACTGTTGGTGTTTCAAGGCATTTACTCAGCTAATTCTTTGCCGTTTTAGGGTGTACCATTCCAGGAAATTCTCCAAATGCAGCATTGCAGAATACAAAGAATTTTTGCTTCGTGGGGGAGGTGCCTGTCTCTTCAACAGGCCAACAAAGGTAATAAATATGTTGGTAGTCAGCATCTCTGCTAAACGTTGTAATGAAAATGTACTAATTTCACTAACAGTCTTCTGTTCTCAAGTTTGTTCAAATGTCTGTGTACTTATTTTCTTGAGGTTGCTTGTAATTAGCTGACTGTTCATTCCCATAACGTTTAAAAATAATCTTAAAAGAAATGAAACTTGTTTTCCATCAATTCTTCATGCTCAAATAATGACAAATATTGCAGTTGATTTTTCACAGCTAGATACATCCCCATTCAGTATAAATGCACTACTTAAGCTGGAAGTGAGGTCATAGTGCATGCTCCACATACACTCAATTCTTGGACTTTTTGCCTGAGGTTGTTAAAAAGAATGTTAGTTACCATACTAGGAATTAGAAATCAATAGCTTACTTCATATAGACAGTAGCAGCTTGTGGTTGTTCTCAAAATTAACTTCATTTCGTTTCAGATGTACATCTAGCATACTTTGTTTCCTTGTACCATCTGTTGGGTTTTTCTTCCTAAAAAAATTACCAAGGTCATAATTTTTTCTAAGGCAATATTAGCATCACATCCTTCTAAAGCTAAGTAGTATAAAAATATTCCACATGGCTCTTTTTGCAAAGTAAGATCAATCCAAAGTATTAACACTATTTAATCGTGGTGTCAGACTTGCTGTCCTTGTAGAATTTAATACCACATGAGACTATTAGGCTGTTCTGTTTACTGCGCTGTATCCTTTGGTAGGCCGCCACCTTGCACAATTAACTAAAAAAAATTTTGCTTGTTAGAGTGTTTTTTAATCTTTTCCCAGGGTAGCAATCTTTGCTTATAGAATAAGCACTGGCTGACTGGAAGGTCCCAAAGAGTGGTGCTCAATGGATTTAAATCCAGCTGGCGGCTGGTCACAAGTGGTGTGCCTCAATGCTCAGTGTTGGGACCATTTCTGTTTAACATTTTTATTGATGATCTCGATAAGGACATAGGGTGTATCATCAGCAAGTTTGCAGATGACACCAAGTTAAGCAGGAGTGTTGATTCCCAGGAGGATAGGGAAGCTCTACAGAGAGACTTGGATTGGATCATTGGGCCAACATCAACGGTATGAGTTTCAACAAGGGCAAGTGCCAGGTCCTGCACTTGGGCCACAATAACCCCATGCAGCGCTACAGGCTTGGGGAAGTGTGGCTGGAAAGCTGCCTGGCAGAAAGAGACTTGAGGGTTCTAATTGACAAGCGGCTGAATATGAGCCAGCAGTGTGCCCAGGTGGCCAAGAAAGCCAACGGCATCCTGGCTTGTATTAGAAATAGTGTGGCCAGCAGAAGTAGGGAGGTGATTGTGCCCCTGTACTCAGCACTGGTGAGGCTACACCTCGAGTATTGTGTCCAGTTTTGGGCACCTCAATACAAGAGAGATATCGAGGTGCTGGAGTGAGGGCAGAGGAGGGCAACGAAGCTGGTGAAGGGCCTAGTAAACAAATCATATGAAGCGTGGTTGAAGGAGCTGGGACTGTTTAGTTTGAGGAGGAGGAGGCTGCAGGGAGACCTCATCACTCTCTACAACTATTTGAATGGACACTGTAGAGAGGTTGGTGCTGGTCTCTTCTCACAGGTAATTAATGACAGAACAAGAGGGAATGGCTTCAAGCTCCAACAGGATAGATTTAGACTGAACATTAGGGAAGAATTTTTCACAGAAAGAGTGGTCGGGCATTGGAATAGGCTGCCCAGGGAGGTGGTTGAGTCATCGTCCCTGGATGTGTTTAAGAGACATTTAGATGTGGTGTTGGGGGATATGGTGTAGGCGAAAACTTTGTAGAGTAGGGTAGATGGTTGGACTCGATGATCCCAAGGGTCTCTTCCAACCTAGACAATCTATTGATTCTATGATTCTAAGAATATAAGAATTCTTACAGAAAAGAGTAAGGAGGGAGAAAGAAAAACACAGCTTCATTTTTTGATGATGGTTGTCTAGCAAGGTAATGTGAACAAATTGTCAAATTGACTGTATACAGAATTAAAATCTGGTTTACTTCCACGAAAATACTCCCAGCAGAATGGTTGAATTATCTTCATATGTTATTTGTGTCAGTGTTTCACAGCTTTGAAGTTAAAGTACTTTGGGGCAGGGGCGGAAATCATACAGTGTTTTGAAACCTATTATTTGGAGGTTGGGAGGAAAGGTAGAAAATGGTGTTTAATCTTTAGGTAAATAAAATGGAGTTGTGTTAAGCAGTCACCATGATGCCATTTTTAATTATAACCTTTTAGTTATGCTCTGACATGTATGTGGATATTTGATGGCTCCTGATTAATGCCATAGAAAATTTGTGTGTGTTATTTTCTTGGATTCCTCTGGTTGACCCCTTTTTGTTTTCTTAAGAGCTACAGGTCAGATAACCAGGTCTGTTTGATGGAGAGCTGAATTTCAGTTTCAAAATCAGAGATATTGCTGTTTCCACTGAAGTATAGTAGTAACAGTGGCTTATAGAGGGGAAAAAAAAAAAAGACATTTCCGTTTTCTGAATCACGTCGACATTGCTAGTGAAGAAGAGTACATATGGGTATTGCTGCAGTATACTTTTGCTTCTGGCACCCAAAATTATAGGTGCTATTGATTACCTGTATAGTTTATGCAACAAAAGTAAAATGTTTTCTTTATTTTTGATTAAGCATTACGAGTCCTCCCCCCACCCTAAAGTACTGAAGAACTCCATCCAAGTTTATCAATAATTTGTATCGTGTGATATGTTCCATATCTTGATGATCCTCAACAGCTGTACTGCCCATGCAGAAAGAACATGTTTAGTCACATCTTTCACCCTCATTTAGCTGTAGATTTATTTGTTCTCATTTTAACTTGTTAACTTTTAAATTCTCATTTCAACCATGTTCTAATGATGAATGTGTTTCTGTTGCTAATATCCCGGTTAATTTGGAGATTCCTGATGTTCTTATAGGATTTTAATGCACAATTATATTGAAAACAGACAAGGTTTTTGCAAAATTATTTCTGTGACAAGACTGAAATCACCTCTAATCAAAATTACAATAAGTGAAACCAGTGTAGAATCTATCTGTATTGTATATAACTGGTCCCAGCAGAAACTGCTTAACGCTATCTATATATGATTGTGTTATTCTAACTTAATAATGAGGCACATAGAACTTCCTTTTGGCAGTGTTTCTTCATGTTTATTATTTTTGTGCACAAACATGTTACACTGGAATAGACAGTAGCTAGTTGCATGAGAAAGTATGGATACCTGAGAATGTCCCAGAGATCATATTACTGACTGGTTTCCTGAAGGAATTGTCAGAGAAAGTGGAGTCCATAGAATTGGAATGAAGTTCAGATGTTATTCCCTTGAGAATTATTTTATTGTCTCTCTGTTTATCATAATTTTCTGAGATCAGTATTCTCCTAAAGAGGGCTAGCAATCAAGTGATTTAGCTGTACACCTTTCATGTCTTAACAATTCAGACTAGCATCACTTGAAAAACATGCAGCCTTCCCCATTGCAGTGGCACAGCATATATATTCTCTGTGAGAGTGTGTTTCTGTAGCATTGCAGAGATGGGCTATGTGTGACAGAAAAGTCATTTGATACTAGTTTTATTCTTACTCTTTTTTTTTGGGGGGGGAACGCTTTTTTGCTTTCAGCTCTTTGAAACCACTGAGTGTGGAAATGGATATGTAGAAGCAGGAGAAGAATGTGATTGCGGTTTCCGAATGGCAAGTAAAGTTATATATTACTCCAGAGGTCTGTCTTACTATTAAGATAAAATTTGTGATTGGTAAAGGAAGGGGAAGGGTTGTAGAAATTAATTTGTTTTGCCTGTTGTTAGGGAACAACTTAAATGACTGTGTTAAAACATTTTTTCAAGTGAGAATGAGTGCAAAGACAGAGTGTGTCCTCAGAACAGGGTTCCTGTCATACTAATGACAAGATGTAGCTGTTTCCCAGCAATTTTTGAATTGCCCTGTAGCAGTGCTCACTCCTTTACTTTTCCTGGATAGCGTACCTAGAGTGGTAGATTCCTTATCTGTGCTTTGGAGATAGGTGCCTGTGTTTGGAAAGCGTAAGTCAAATGTTGTTTTCTTCTCTGTTGTAGACATATTCCAAGAATGTTTTTTGCAAAAATCTGCCCTGTAGCTCTGAGCCCTAGTTCTAGTATTTAAATATAATTACACCCATAATTAGTTTTCATAGTCTTTTTTCTGCATTGAATGCAATTTAAGCAGCATGCATTGGCACAGGCTATTCCACACCTGTGAAGAGGCTTCAGAAGGTGTGAATCCCCTTGTTGCTATAGCATATATGTCACTGTTTTCCCTTTCCTTTAGTATTCGAGCGTTGCAGAGGATTCTTCCAGCTAATAATTTCAGGTCATCAATGCTGAACTGAGTCTTTTGTCTGCTGGTACATAATAGTTTGTTGGAAAGATTGTGAAGAAAAAACTTAGTTGAAATGGAAAACTAAAAATGTTGCTTAATATTTTCTTAAGGAATGCTATGCAGACTGTTGTAAGAAGTGCTCTCTTTCTAATGGAGCTCATTGTAGTGATGGACCCTGCTGTAATACATCGTGTCTTGTGAGTATTGCTGCAGTATATCTGTTGTTCTTTTCAGTTGCCCATGGAAGTTGTGTGCAGCCTGTTATAGTTTAAAGTGTGTTTCATGTAGAATGAAAAGGAACAGCTTAAGTAGAGTAAGACTGCTATTCCAGACAATAATATAGTTATGCCCCAAATATCCAGTGCAATCTATTGCCTTTATATGTATTCATGTTTACATGAATGCCTTTTGCGTTAATGTATCAGAAATGAAAAAAAAAACCTAAATTTTCAAAGTATTATATACTTCAGTTTAGGCTTTAAAATATTAAGCAGCAGAAATATTTTTCAACGCTTTGAAATAACTATTGAGATAGTGGTGTTCTGTTGTTAGCCAAGCTAAAAAAGACAAATGTGTGAGTATAGTGTTTACAGAGTGTTAAAATGAGGAGTAATTCCAAACGGGAACCTTTAATTTTGCTTTCACATAATCTTAGTCCTGAACTATATACTTCATTTTCTAGTTTTTCCCACGAAGTTATGACTGTCGATATGCAGTGAATGAATGTGATATTGCAGAGTTCTGCACTGGAGATTCTGGCCAGGTATGTATGCAGAAGCCTTTTCTGCTTACACTATTGATGTTTGTTTGTGCTCATTTTATATCAATTTCAGAGGAAAATCTGGATTAACAAACTGCACTCTCATATACCCATAAATAACTGTGGGGGGTTATTTTTTAATCCTAACAAAATTTTTTAAACATAAATAAACTATCATAAGCTCAAAAAATAATTAATCTAAATGGACTCAAAATATGACTTATGTAGTTTTGTTTATTTTTTAAAACTTGTCAGGTTTTGTGTATCTGTATAGTATTTGTGTCAGACATCCTTCTTTACTCTTTGCCTGGTCTGCAGCGTAAGTACTAAGAATATACTGCAAATGTGAATGGATTCAAAGGTAATTATAGTAAGATTTTATGAAATAAAGTAATTTAAAATATAAATGTAGAAAATTACAACTAATTGAATTGTGGAATCATTTAGGTTGCAAAAGACCCTTAAGATCATCAAGTCCAACCATTAACCTGACACTGCCAAGTCCACCACTAAACTATGTCCCTGAGCACCATATCTACATATCTTTTAAATACCTCCAGGGATGGTGACTGAACCACTTCCCTGGGCAGCCTGTTCCAATGCTCAATAACCCTTTTGGTGAAGAAATTTTTCCTAATATCCATCCTAAACCTCCCATGGTGCAACTTGAGGCCATTTCCTCTTGTCCTATCACTTGTTGGGAGATGAAACCAACCCCCACCTCTCTACAACCTCCTTTCAGGTAGTTGTAGAGAGCGATAAGGTCTCCCCTCAACCTTTCCTTAGGGTAAACAACCCCAGTTCCCTCAGCTGCTCCTCATATGACTTTCATTAGGCATTACGTTTTTTAAGAGTGTGCACATGTATGATGATTTTTAAAGCTGTGGATCTTGTGCATTTCTCTTGAAAACATTTGGCTAATAATCAAAAGAATAGGAATAAACATCAACCAAGAAAGTTGTTTTAACCTGAGTTCTTTTAAATAGTCAATATTCTGTATATCTTTAATTTTTACAGTAACTTTGATGCTTTAGGTGATATATGCTTCTTTTCAATCTTGAGTATTTAGCTTCAAGGTTATGTAAGAACTTCATAACTCTGCTGCAGTCATCTACTGTGTTAAGTTCTTAGTTTTGAAGAAATAAGGTTCAGGATAGATAACACATCTCTGGGCATTGGCTGTAATTCTAGATGCCAATAAATTAACAGTAACCTGTTTTTATATTGTCATCTGAGACATCCACTCTTATAGAAAAGTAGCTATTGCTGAGATATTATTGTAAATCTTATTCTGTAGATGGAGCATTCTTACTGGGAGGGAGAAGGGCTTTCTTAAGCTAGAAAGGCTGCTCTCAAAGTATTGGCTAATATGCTACATCGCAGCAACGTACCCTTTCCAAATCTTCACAGATTCCTTTTTGAGAACGGTCTCCTCCTAGCTTTAGTAATCTGAGGCTTCTGGACCTAATGACTTGTTCATACCAAATAAGTTTCTAATGCCAAGAGAACACGACAATTAACATCATGAAAAAAACCAAAACCAACAACCAAACAACCCAGAAACCAACCCACAGCTCTGTAAGTGATAGACCAGTAGGCTACAACTAGGTGCTTGCTAACTGTCTTAGTGGAACTGAAATGAATGCAGTGGCAGTATTGCAAACATGGGCCTTGTATTAGCTACCAAATATACTGTACTGAACACGTGTTTTGCTTTTTATTTTGCCTCACCTCCTTAATTTCTACTTGAAATATGCAGAACGTTAGGGTCAAACCTTGTATTTCATGGCTCAAAATGTTCATTTTTTCATTTGTATTTGTAGCTATAAAGATTCCTGCACTAATTGTGTTATCTACTCTCTTTATATGTTGTGCAGTTGTCTTTTAAAACTGCAAAAATTCCATATGTCATCCTTTGATGTATTATTACAGTACACATGATTAAAAAAAATTCTTAATTTTTTTTAGTGTCCTCCAAATCTTCATAAACAAGATGGGTACGCCTGTGATTCTAATCAGGTAATGCAATGTTTTAAAATACCTGCACATCAGCAAATAGAAATTAATCAAATACAAGTTTTCTTTTTTCAATCCTGTGTTGTATATTTCTTCATAAATTTTGTCTTCTGGACATCAGTGCTGCTTGTGCTTTATGCTCTCTATGAATAGTAAAAATTTATAGTTTGAGTAAAATCTGCTTGGCATCTTTACATTTTACATGTAGATCTTTTTATTACACTCCACGTTAATAAGTTCTTTACAGCTATATAAATGAGAAGTATAAAGCAGCTGCTGAAATGTCAGTATGTATTAGACACCAAATGACTCTGAGAATCTAGGCCAAAATGTGTACTCCATCTTCCCAAATTCATGGAAACTGTTATACATCCCAATACATGTATGAAGAATCAAAACGAGACATTTGTTGTGGGAGGGGAAGGAAATGAAATAATGTTCAGTTCTCATTGCTAACATGTTGTGTTTTGTTTAGGGTCGTTGCTATAATGGTGAATGCAAGACAAGAGATAATCAGTGCAAATATATCTGGGGATCTAGTAGGTGGACTTTAACTAACTTAAGTATATTTTAGTTCTGGTTTGTTCCTGCCTTTATTTTGTATTTTTAGTAGTTTTATTTTTTGCTCTTCGTACTGTAATTTAAAGTTTTCTGCTCAGTAGAATAGGCTGCAGTGAGAAACTTTGGCTTGATTGGCTTGCTTGGGAGTGATGACAGTGAGATTGTTCTGACATGATGTGTTTGCAGACATAGGTAGGGCAGCAAATGCTGGACTCTGGTGGAATTAGGTGAGAAAACATACAAAATATTAGCAACTTTGAGTTACTGTTACCAGGGGGAAGAAATGGGTTTGAGAATTTTTTTGGTATAGTTCAGAACAGATGTTTTGGTTTTTTTTTTTTAATGACAGTTGTCAATTCCATTATCCCAGTGGTGATTCATGCTAAAGTTGCTCCATCTTGCCTGTCTTTGCTATACCATCCTATAGTTAGGAAAATTAGTACGTTACTGTGAATTGAAATATATAGTATGAATTCAAGTCCAGAGGTGTTGAGTAAAATAGAATTGCAGTTGCAATGGATTTTGCTTGCAGCTAAGATAGGATAAGTGCTATGTGTAATGACTTTGAGACAGTTCAGCAGCGTAGAGCTACCAGGATGTCCTGTACTCCAGGACTTAATGCTTTCTTGTGTATTTTGTCTAATCATAACTGACATTCCTGACACTACCTATTTGAGGCAGAAGAATCATTCCATTCTAGGGAAGGTGGGAGGGGAGGGATATGGTTTTACCATTTACTGTTTGTCTTGTACAATACAAAAGATGCTACGTAAGTGTAAAATTGGATGGAGACATTTTCTTTGTCTTCTGATGCCTTTTTGAGCTTTATGTTGCCACCTCACATTTATTGGTAATATTAAAGGCAATAGATGTTTTTGTTAACTAATTTCTATGTATCTTACACACTTATATTAAAATATTTGATTTGTCTTCTGTACAAGTGATTTCACTGAAACTACTCTGTCTTACTTAACTTTAGTATTTTAACTTGCTCTCTATAATTGTTGTGCTTTTCTTTTTTAATTGATTTTTAGAAAAAACAAATGAGCTTGTTAGTAAATAATTGTAGTTTTAAATCTATTTGTTCAGATTTCTACTCCTAAAAAGCAGTAGTTCAACCTTGTTTTCTCTGTGAACTCCTAAAAAATAAAATAAAGTAAACATTCAGTTGATGTCAGAACATATACCTATGGTATATGTCATATATAAAAATCTTTGATCTCCTGAAATACAGATCAGGAATAATTGCAGTGAAAACTGCAAGATTAAATCTATGTGCAACTGTTATGAAGTGACAGAATTAGACCACAGGTAAATTCAAATGCAGAAGATCATACAGACACTGTGGAGATTGCTTTTTTTAAAAATTTCAGGGCAAATTTTGAACATTGAGCATTATTTTAGAAAAACTATCTGTAGGTATTGCAGTTCAGTCTGCTAGGTTCCCACTGTAGTTACTGGAAAAGATCATCTGTGTACATACAAATGTGGTTAGATTTATGTTTTGTATTTAAAAAAAATACTCCTGCAATAAATTATGCAGGTTTTCAAAGCTCTCATGTTGCCAATGGAAAATATGTGCCTTTTTTTCCTTTCTTCATTAACAGAGTCTTCAGGATCTGACAAATTTTGTTATGAAAAGCTTAATACGGAAGGCACAAAAAAAGGAAACTGTGGAAAGGATGGAGACCGATGGATTCAGTGTAGCAAACAGTAAGTTCAGCTTGGTAATTTGTATTTGAAGTAGATTATTAGTGCGTTAATATTGTCTACTTTTTCATGAATGCATCAGCAGTGTGTTTTGCGTTATTTTGAATCTTCCTTCCCTCACAAGGTTTGCATCTTGAAAAAGTTCCATTCTGACAAATCCAGGGGTGACTCAGCAATACACTTGTACAGTATTCCAGATTTTCAGAAGAATGTACTGTGACTTTAATTCTTTCAGTAGAGCTGGGTACAAGGCAGCAAAAAGTCACAAGTTCATAATGTACAAACAACTCAGACTTGGTAGGGATAAATTAGGCTGCAAATACACACACTATTTTCGCTTGCTCTGGGATTGATACCAGATTATGCTATTTCAAATTTGTTCCAACCTTTATTTGGACCAGAGAGGACCATTGGGCATTTGGATGCCATAGAGAAAATGGCTGATTCATTTGCATGTGATCATTACTAGATGGATATTTGATTAAATTTACTTTTCAAGTTAATGATCACCAGTGGATACACTTAAATTTCTCCTGATTGACTTACCGTTTTGTAATTTTTAAGTATGCGTGTAAACATTTCAATCTCAGAATGGTGTTTTCCTTCGACTATTTGATGTTTGTCAAGTGGCACTATTAATTTTTTTTTCATTACATGATTCACTTTTCAGGTAGCATCATAAGGAAAGGAGTTGTTTAACGTTTTTTTTTTTTTAATACATATTTAGATGAATAGTGTTGTTCTGATATGTATGTTAAAAACCTCATTTATTAAAAGCTTTCCTTGGTCGGTAGAGAGCTGCAGAAAAATGGTGTAGCTGAAGGACCATTTATATTTTTTGTAATTTTTACAAATACAATTTCCAGCATTCATTCAGCTGCTTCTATGACTTAGGACAACTGGAGTAGGAGATGGAATTTTTTAGCTGATATCCTTCTATTGAAGATTGCAAATATAAAATAACATCAGATAAAGCAGATTCTTTACCAAAATCCAGGCACACACACACTGCATGCTAACGATTGTTATTATGGTTCTGTTGTCCTGCAAGGGAAATAAAATTCAAATAAAAATTCAAACCACGACAACTTCACATTAATGTACGGCATCCAAGCTGCTAGAGTGAGGGAAATGTAATTTAGCCTGATACGACAAAGCTTTGTACAATTTGGCTCCTCTTAATTGTACTGTATTGTATTTAGAGCACAGATAAATTTGTTCGTGTGAACATTCACTGGTGCATTAGAAAGTATGATTGCTTGTTTCTGCCTCTTGTCATTTCTATCAAATAACATTTTATTTCCAGACTTGCACTCTGAAAGTCTATCATGTGGCTTATGGTAATATATTACTGAATGTGATCAGCAGCATCATTGCCAGTATTTCTTTTTTGTTAGTTTACTTCATATTATTCCAATAATTTTTCGATTTATGTTTTCATTTTACAGTGATGTTTTCTGTGGCTTTTTGCTCTGTACTAATCTTACTAAAGTTCCACGAGTTGGTCAAGTTCAAGGAGAAATCATCCCAAATTCTTTTTATCATCAAGGACGAATAGTGGACTGCAGGTAAAAGATAATGCAGTGTTCCAACATGATTTTGCTCAAACCTAATTGAATTAAGATAAACATAAATATAAAATTCTGTGATTCTTAGGTAATTAATATCTTACAGCAAAATCATTACTCTGAGTGGTATTTCTTTTTAACTAAAAAAATAAAAAGCCTAATATTCCACATTTAAAGAGGGCAAATTGTGGGTTATCCTCCTGATGACTCTATCTGATCTTTTCAGTAGCAGAACTTCAGAATGTAATACTCATCATTGTATTTTTCTGGGGGATGGCAGGGGGGGAAGTCTGTAATTGCCAAAGACCCATATATTAAACATAATGTTTTTGAGTATTATATCCTCAAAGAAATAGCTGTAAGGAAGTGAAGGCTGAGATGAAGGAAACTGAAGAGTTGTGGCAGGAGATGATGTTAAGCTACAGTTCAGTTAAAGGGCAGGTAGATGGGTTTTAGTCTACTGTGCGCAATACTAGATTTGTATTTTAATTATTAGCTGTCATGCTTATACTCTCTTACATAGTTAGGTCCTGAGAGAACAATAATTCTTAACTCTTCTATTATTCCACTAGTATTTTTATTTAAATGTCATCACACAGGAAATTAGTTTTTTAACATTTTTCTAGCAATAGTATTTCACAACTTTTGGGGAAAAAAAAAAAAAAAGAAAAATAATCACAGCCCATCAAAGACTATTAAAAAACCCCAAAGCCTAAGGGACCGTTTTTGAGTATTTAAATATTTTTGAGTATTTAAGTCATTATCTAGACTTCTTTTTAGTCTGACAACCTTGTCAATGCTGTGGACAGACAGAAAAGCTTTATAATTTTGTTCAATCTGTCTATATGCTTGAATGTGAGAAAGGTACCTGCACTGACATGTTTAATATTTTCAAAAGACTCCAGTCGTAAAACTAACGGTATATTAAAACTTATTTCTCCTAGTGGTGCTCATGTTCTTTTAGATGATGATACAGATTTAGGTTATGTGGAGGATGGAGCTCCATGTGGACCTCACATGATGTGTCTGGACAAAAAGTGCCTGCCAATTCAGTCCTTGAACATAAGCAGCTGTCCCATTGGTTCTAATGGAAAAGTCTGTTCCGGTCATGGGGTGAGTCTGTACTGGGAGTTAGCAGCTAAGGCCCTCCAGCTATCTCTGCTATATCTGATCTTAATGTACACTGTGGAGTTCTCTATCTGAAAGCGTTCCTAAGACCTGTTGATCTGAAAACACAAATGTTAAATTCAGGAGAAGACTGCCATTCTGTGAAGCACAGATGAGATTTTAGAAAGCAGAGTTGTCAAATCAGTTCTGCAATTATATCCAATGTGTTTTTTCCGTTACTGGCAAGAAAGAGTTTTGACATCAGCTATTGTAAAGACTTCTGTAAGGTACTACGCATATTTCAAGCTACTTGCCATCTTCAGTTAAACTTTTTCCTGGATACTAACACCTTTATAAAGTTGGTCCTGTGTTCATGGATCTGTTATACCTCATGATTTAAATAATGAAAATTCTAAACTGTTGGACCCCAACAGAGATAATATGTTCTTCTTGAACAGAAGCAAACTGTATCATTTTACATTCAGTCACATTATATTCTGTTATTCTACCCATAAGTCCATTTGTCTAAGACATTAGGTGTGTTTTGATGAACAGATTCACCGTTCCATGTCTTAACCGTAAAACTGATAAAACCTTTCCACTGTGGGATTCAGTGGACAGATACTTGCCTAAGGGGCTAGGGTTTATACAAGAAGGTTTTTGGTTGTTTTCTTTTTTCCTCTTGTTATGTATAATTGAAGATGAAGTTGAGTGCTTCGAAGAAGAGGGTTAGGTTCAAAATCAAGAAGAAAAATTTTAAAATTGGAAACTGAAGGTTCTAGGAGTTGTAGAAATGATCATGGTACTTTTGGAGAGTGGCGTGAGTGGTGAGAGAACTGTTACCTTTTTTGTTTTGCTTTGGATTATTCCAATTCATAATTTTAAAAGGATACTTTAGTTAATCAAATCTGCCATAAGATGTATTTATCTTCAGCTTCCTAGATAAGATTCTTCAGTGAATACTTTAAGAAGCAGAGTGAGACAGAAGTTAAATTAAAAAAAATCACATGTACTACTTACTTGTAATCATTAGTGTGTAGGTTATTTTCTGAGTTTTTTTGACATTATGTTCCAGTGTCCAAAAGAAATTATTAGCTGATGCCTAATGACTGACTTAATTTCTAGTCCCATAGTCAAAACTTCATTCTTTGTTTTCTGTCTGTTTCTCAAGTCATGCATTTTCCTTAGTAACCTCTTCTAGCAACACACTCCATGCTCTTTTTCACATGGAAAGTTTATAGCTATTAACTCGCTGTTTATTTGATACTTTAGCTTTTGTCAGTTGGATAGGTTTTCCTGTATCTGATAAATGTACTGCCAATTTTAGTGACCCCTAAGTCTTTCATCAGAAGTCATTCAACTAAATGTAGACTTTCCTTTCTTTCTAGAAGATAAGCAGGCACTCCTCAGTGCTGCTTAGAAAAAAATGCCGAGAAAACCAATGAAAATCTAACTGTTTTTTCTACATGGGAACAAGCTGTAAATGGGAGGTTGTAAAGCGTAACCTTCAACCTGTTAAATACAAATGCTTGTATTCCTTCTGGACATCCAGGCTCAAAGTCTAAATAGTTGGTTAGTGAAGATCTAACTGATTTAGATAGGGGTTTTTTGGGTGAGAAGTTCTGTTATTTTTTACATCCTATGCAGGTGTATAGTGCAAGTGGTGAAGGAACCACTGGGAAGACTTCTGCTTTTCCTAGCATCTGAGTGTATTTAGAGGGTTAAAGCGAACTTACAGGTTATTGATGTATTATACTAATTCTAACCACCCAGTGCTATTGTTACAATATATAAATGGATAAGTTTTATACTGTGAATGAAATACCTATTTACATTTAAATAAACTTAATAACATGTAGTTAAAAACCAACTGCTGTCATTTATTTTCTTTTCCAGGTTTGTAGTAATGAAGCCACTTGCATTTGTAATTTCTCCTGGGCTGGGACAGACTGCAGTATTGATGATCCTGTCAGGGATACTGGTAGCAAAAAGGATGAAGGACCCAAGGGTTTGTGTGATTTCAGTTTTTATGTTCTTTCAAGTATTTATGATGTTTTTCTGTTGATACATGGTAGTTGAATTACCATATAGAAAGAGAATACTATTGTACAGTCTTGTTTAGACCCAGAGAGTAAAAATCTGCTTCGTGTACGTGAAGTAGGTCTTTCTGCTTTGAGAATTGATGAAACTCTTATTTTTCTAACCTAAATTTGGGGAAGATTTCAATAGTTAATGGTATGTGCTTCCTGTTTTTTCCTTCATCCCTTATTCTTTATTTTTTATGATGATTTTCTTTGTGATAGGAATCTGACTAAGTGTAGCTCTTATTATTTATATGATAATTGAGTATTTATGTTTTACTAGAGATTTTCAGTTCCCTTAGTTGTTCTCAGCTAATTTAGAGAGCTGTGGCGTAAAAAAGGGCAAAATGGAATGTCCTGGGTGAAAAAAAGCTTTGGTTCCTTGAAATCAGATTTCAGTGGGAGGAAAGAGATATAAATTAAGATTTTGAGGACTTAAATTGTTGTTACAATTATTATTGCTTACTTTTATGTATTTAGTAGGTATTTCAATTGTGTATGAAATAGAAATACAAAGAGGAGCTACTGAGGAAATAATTAATGAAAAAAGTTTTTCAGAGGAAGAAAAGCATTTGAGATTCTCTCTGACTTCTTTGCCAAAGAATGTCTTTGGATTTTGCTGTCCAATTTTTTAATATCTTTCCTGTCATCAGGACATTGTCCTGTCCATCAGACTATATTTCTCCAGTGTTCTGTTATGCATTTACAGATAAAGTTCCCAATAAACAACTGAGGAAACCCAAACAATTTTTTTCTGCTACATCCGAGTTCCAGGTTCTTCTGTCCCTTATACAAGGCTGATGGAAAGAAGATAGAGTTGTTTAAAAATGTAGTCCTTACAGCTCAGACTCTAATTGATTACTCTTGAAAAATACCCAGGGTGTTAAGGGAGGAAGCATTTTGCTATGTCCCTCCAGAATGGCTCTACTTCTGTCTTGTGTGCCTCGTTCTTTTGCCCCTTAGCAGAACGGTTCCAGTAGGCCTTTACCAAGAACTGTTGAAAAGATTGTCTTAAAACAAGTTACCACTGTGAAGGAGGCTCTCTAGAACAGACCAGATTTGTATTAGCAAATCTGTGCAAATGCTTCCTGGACCCTTAACCGCACCACTGTTTGGTGTAGAGCTGCCTGGTTTGTACCCTGCCGTACAAAGCTACTTGTCATTCTATTTCCCATAAAAACCTTCCTAACAGTGGAATGCTGCTTACATAGTCTTAAAAAAAAAAAAAAAATAGTGGAGAATAGCACTATAGAGCCTATAAAACTGGTTACTTCTCTTTGTGTGTGGATGAGGAAAGCAGCGTTTACAGTTGTGACACTGAGATTACCTGAATTTTATATTGCTTATTTCCAAATCCTGTAGGTAATAAATAGTTACCTCCTCTGTATATAGGAAAGGTAACGCAGAAGGTACGCTTATCCTGGTTAGATTTTTGTAATTCAGATTAACTCTTCTAATTCAGAATGCAAATACCTTTATGAAAATTAGTATGTCAATGTTGAAATATTCTGGAAAGAAGTCTTAAATGAATAGCATGTGCATGGTTTTCTGCCAGTAGGTACAGACATAAAGTTTAGACTGCATTTTTCAAGGAGTCCTCTACAAAAAGGCAGAATATGTTTTTGTACAAGGTGACCCAATAATTTCAAAAGATGGATTATTTTTTACTATTATTGTTACAGTAATTTATTGATGTTGAATCACCTAGAAATGAAATTAGAAGCCCGAACACTGACAGCTACTGTAATCTCTTTTGGAGTGCTAATAGAGGAATTCCTTTGTGAGAAGATGTCACAAGATTACAGAAGTAGTTTTCTGTATTGTAAAGGTCCAACATACTCAAGTAGTATCCATTAAGTTTTCTCCCCTTATTACCAGTACTTCATATGTCATATGACAGTTTACAAGCCTGAGAAAGAAACCGAAATACTTTTTTTTCCTTAGCCCTAAATTTGAGGTTTGTTACATTTCAGAAACAGAACACTTACGATGAAAATTCATCTCATAGTTTCAAGATTTTTCACACCATAAATCCAAGCGTTTTTCTTACTACAATTAGAGCATGTTTAGCTAGGAAGTATTGCCTTTTTTTTTTTTATACATTGTTGTGATAATTGACAATTGACTGGTACTCCGGCTGCACTTTTCTTTGCAGACCTTTCCATCATCCATCAATTGCTTTTGGCTCCATACTGTATTTCAAGATTTAAAAAATCGGTGTTCCTTAATTATGTTGGTATTAATACATGAGTCTTGAATTACTCTAAACTCAGCAACCTACTGTATCCTGTACCAGCAGACCTGCATAGCATGATAGCAGTTTTGGAAGACAAGGAGTTCTTGCTGTTAGTTTTTGGCTACTGCAGAAACTTTGAATTACTTTAGAGTGTTGGCTAGTAGTTTTGAAATCAGTAGGACTCCATATGCACACAAGACTCTTCCTTTGCAATTTCATTTGCAGAATTAGGCCTTTGACTAGTGGGATAGTGTTTGTTTGGGGTTTTTTTAATATAAAACTTATGTCTCAAGTGTGTGTGTGTTTGTGTGTGTACATTTAGGAAACAGAAAAAAATTATGAACCGTTTATTCAGCATGAAGACTATACAGTTTTTGTCCCTTGGAAAGGTTCCCATTAGACAGGGAATTCAGCTGCTTGCTTGTGGTCTGTTATGACTCGATGAATCTATCAAGCTTTTAAGCTTGAACAAAGGAAATGTATAGATGTTTTTTCTCAAAAAGAGTTCCCTTAAGAAATGAAAAATAAGACCTCAATGTCTTGAGAGACTGTCTGAACATACTGACGTTTCCAGGGTGTTGCCTGAAGCGCATTTCTAGGGTAGGTTTTTCCTTTTAAAAGGCGTTATCTGTTTTTAGGTCATGTAGATAAATAGAGAGTCCTATTGATAAATGCAGTAACAAAGGAAAATATTACAAACTAGTAAAGGAATGAATTTAAAAGTTGGGGTTTTTTTCTTTGCCTGCAATGAAACTGTTTCCAAACAGTTTTCATTTACTTAGTTACATTATGGATACAGTAAGTTTCTGGTGATCAAAAGGAATTTTTCATTTGCATTTTCGCTGTTTTAAATGAGCAGTAGGTTGAGGATGTTCCCTTTTTAAGCAAATAATAGAATCACACTAAAAGGAATAGTCTTGCATTTACAGGAAAACTTCTCATTGAAATATTTGCAAGCGTTCAAAGAAAACCAAATACAGCTAATTTCAGAATTTTTAAAGCTACAGTATTTGGTAAATGAAGGTTTGTTAGCAGGTTTGAATTGTTTATCTGATGATGGATTGTGGTGTAAAATACTCCTTTGGGGAATTACTTCATGTTTTCATTTCAGACATATATGTGATCATTTCCTTAAAAAAATCTTCCCTTTTCCCTCCACACAGTGAGCATGGCCACTAACAGGCTAATAGGTGCAGTGGCAGGGACCATTCTGGCCTTGGGGGTGATTTTTGGAGGCACAGGGTGGGGAATAGAGTAAGCATTTTTCTTAGTTTGAGTTTGATGTTTGGTGCCTAGTGTGTGAGGTAACCGTATGCACCCGAGCCCTCTGTGTATTACCCCATTAGCTTTGTCATGTGGTGACCGTATTTGTCATGTGATTGACTGTGTCTGTGTCATGTGGTTTGCTCATGCAGTGTTGAACCTTCTCCTGTCTGGGATAATGTGGGGCATAAAACAATAAGTTTGTGAATTTTTACATTGTCACAGTAAAATTAAATGTCTAAATGTTTCCATTACACCAAATTATGAAAATAATGGGAAAAAAAATGGATGTTTGTGATTATTTTGCGAAATAGACTGAGTAACGTGGACTATTTCATAAAATGCAGAAATTGTTTATTACAATCTATGGGGCTTTCAGTCTAATAATAGGTCACATGATCTAGCTAGGAAGATGAAAGCTGATGATAATAGTGATAACGACCACTAGTTTTACAGTAAAGCTTCTGAATGTTTCATTGCTAGAATTCTGTTACCTCAAGGCAGTAGAATGGTGAAGTATAGAATTTGTATGTAAAGAATATGTATAAGTAATTTTTTATTGTCTTTTCATAGTTTTAGGAAGCTAATATTAAGTGTTAGCCGACTACCTCAGTTTTAACAGTGGCTATGATTTATATCTCTCTGTGTATACATATATACACATCTAAAAATGCCCATATAAGAACTCTTTCATTCTGTGCAAGCTACAGAATAAATTGCTTTTACTCTGCTCTTGTGAGATTTCCAACTTCACTCTGTTTCTAATCCTATGTATTACCTCTGTCATGTGACAGTGCCATCTCTCTGAAGGGGGAATCATAACACGACAGTTTGTGACTTCTAATCAGGCTGGGTGAAAAAGAATTCATATGCAGTTCTAATTAAGGCTGCATAGGCAGTGTCTGGTAGGGAGCATTCTGTGTGTCTGAGTTTGCAGCCCAAGATAAAAACTTTTTAGCTTTTGCTGAACTGGACTGTTGCATGAAGCCCATCTTAGATTCTCAGAAGAGTAGAGACCTTTGCATTCAAAGAGGACAACTAATAGAAAAACAAGTAGAAGAAGAAGTTAATAGATCATCTGCTTGAGAAAGATCAGATCGGTGTTTTACTGGTGGCTTTTACAACTGTTTGCTGAAAACAGAAGACTCTGAAGATTGTAGAGGTTTGGGACCTAGACTCTGGAGCAGAGAATTTACCTACAGGTAGAGGACCATTTGCATTTTGCTTACATTCTGCCTTGCACCCTTCTGTTTTTATCTTCTGCTACCTGCTGTCTCAATCCACTCAGCTCTGACCAACGTCCCTGATCATTTGTTCTTACTCCTGTTTGCTTCTGCTCTAATTCCAGCTTTTCTTCATCTTTCCTCTCTTCTTATCACTCACTACCTGTCTCATTCTTCTTTTTGATTCTATCCATTCTTCTTTCCTCGTTCCCATCAGTCTTTTCTCTGTCCTCTGGTTCCGTCAGATACAAACATATACTCAAGGTAAGCCGCTGCTACTTTTTGTTGCTTTGTTTAAAGAAAGCACATGGGGAACACAAATACCCTCTCTGTGCCTAATGCCCTTCAGGCCCTGCTGGCTGTTACCATCAATGGCTGCGGGGGAAGTTATGTTCATCACGACCTGATGCTAGGTCCTGCCCTTCTTCCTCCTTCCTTGCCACTTTGCAAATTGCAACCTTTTCTTCAAAGTGCTGAAATAACTTTAGTTTCTTAATGCTTTATGAATGTATTTTAGTAATCATGGGGGGCAAAATGGCAGAATCGTTTTTTTCCGGATTTCATCCTACAATGGATACTTAGCTTTGATAACTGAAACAAGAGGATTTGGCTGGCAAAGTGACAGGCAAGAAAAGAAAACATCAAACCATCACTGTGTTGTTATCTGCAGGACAATCTGTAGTAAACTTGCCTCTTCTACAACTAGCAGAGTTTCAAAGCAATGTATGTTAATTCTTGTAGAATCTATAGCTGATGCTGATGAAGATTTAGGGAATAGTCTGAAGTCCACTGAAATTAAAGGTGTGTTCTGTTTTAACATCTTCAGTAGGATTTGTATTGGGGTTGTAAAAGATGACTAGAGATGATATGATAGCTGTGCCAAAGCAGATAGCGGCTTGCGGGAAAGGGTGGTGTGCCAGGCGGTTACGGTTCAGTTAGTTGCAGAAGCTGATAAATGTGTGTCTGCAGGTTCTAGCAGTAGTGTGGCGGACGGAACAAGTATACCAGAAGCGTTGCATCTTGTGATAATCTGGATGGAAAATGACCCCACAGTATGGTGGTTGTTAAAACCTTTCTCTTACTTTTGGTTTGCATGTATTTATGCCAGTCATCTGAGTCCAGTGACTAGAGAAGCTTATTTAGCTGAAACATATTGATTTATACTTTTCTTCATAAATGTCACTAACTAAAATGAGCTGATGCAAAGTGGGCTTCATACTGGTAGCAAAGTTCTGGATAGTGAATAATACAATTTCCTCGATAATGCTTAATAAAACATAAGGCATTCATCTTTAAGGTAAGGTATAACATGTAAAAGTAGTCCCATTGTAAGTACTTCTATTTGCACAGTTTGTTACAGTCTTAAAATGGCTCGCCAATAATCCTCTTAAATCTCTGTATTTTGAAACTGGAATTCATTACTTGGGCGACTCTGTTCTAGTAAACAAGTGGTTGCTGTTTAGTAATCATAAATATTCCACTAGCTTTGTTTTTATGTTGAAGTCAGAAATGAAATTATGGTCCTGTTGATTATCAGTGAAATTTTACCTTGAATGTAGCCTTTTCGGTTTCTTTACTAGGAAAAACAGCTGTTTGTCTGCATTCATAGGAACTGCCACTCCCAGCAAACTGTGAAACAGTTTTATAATTATTCCAGGGGAATGGACATGCCTTTATCCACAGCCGTCTATCGTTTACTCTGCGCTTAGGCTCTCTCTAGCAGATAGCCTAATTCTCACTGGCATTTGATTTTCAGGGGTTTTTTTTGGTGTTAAAAATGAACATCGCTGACACTTCATAAAACTGGGTCAGATCCAAAAAGTGTTTTTTATCTGGACCCATTTATTATTTAATAGGATTTTAGTGACTTTTCTATTAACTGAACCTAATTTTTTTCTTTATATTATCCTTTTCTGTTTAAATTTTGATTGAATTCTTTGGTATTTATAGTAAATGCTGATTTTCTGTATTGAAAGAACAAAATGCTGTTTGTTGAATGGATGCATGCTGTGAAATAGATTACGCTCCCACCTCCCTGAACTTCGAACAACCAGGGAACATAGTAAGAAGAGGGATGTAAAACAGTAGCCATTTGGTACCTCCTTATCTAAGTTACGACTATATTACTATCAGTTAATCATTGTACCTCTTTTGTGGGAAGATAGCATTCTATGGCTAGGAAGAAATAGGCTTTAGAATTTTTCAAGGCTTCTAAAATTTATTACAGATACATTACTTGCTGTGTTTTCAGTCTTTTGTTGTGTGCAATCATTTGATAAAATCAGAGTAAGCCATAGATCTGAGTCAGATACAGTAGCTCAGTAGGCTGCTGTTGAAAGCAAGCCTTAATTGGGAATATAATGCCTGTGGAATGGCATTAATTTACCCTCCACCACACTCACTCCTCTTGATTTGAGCCAGGTGTGACTTGAAAGGTAAGTCCAAATAAGATTCGTTTTTCCAAATTGTAAAAAGTTATTTTAAATTATTGTTGTCAAATTTGTGCATTGCTTATATCTGTAAAGCTCCCTATATTGCTTTTCAGTCCAAGTCTTTTAATAACATTCCCAAATAGTCTTTGTGTAGGAATTGCAGGAAGCAATTTTTAAACCTTAGTTTTCTTTTAGCTAATTTGATCTCCAGAAGCACTGAGATGGGAAACATGTAAGGATGCAATAAAGTTAGGTCACTGCAGTAAATTTTAAAACTTAGGGTGCATACTTATTGTAGTGTCTGGGACTGGGCAGAAGGTTTTGTGGTACCAACCTAACAGCTTAAAACTTTCAGTTGTTGCAGCTGCCCTTGCTCTTTCCTTTGCTGATCTCTGGCTGCTCCTTTTTCTTCCTTACATTAGCTGTCTGAGAGTTTTCCAAACTCAGTTTCAGAACATGTAAAATAGGAAAATTCCAGTTGCTTGGTTTGGGGAGACTGGGATAGGAGGTAAGAACTGGTTTTGAAGGCTATTCCTGGATATGTAAATGTTTAAACAAAAAGTGTGCGATATGCTGCAAAAGAACTGTTGGGTTTGTTTCATTCTGCCTTGAGCTCAGATGCAATTAGCTTTACATCAAAGACTGCTCAATAGGAAATTTTTGTACAGAGCAATTAAAATGTTACTCAAGCCTATTGTCAGTTTTCTTCCACCCTGAGTCAATAGAGCACTTAAGGGTCAATTATGAATATCTTATTTAGGTGTTCTCTTGCTCTCCTCAGAAGATTGCACAAACATATTTTGTGCTGCTGCTTTTTCTTGCTCTTTTTGCCTGCTCCACCCTTCCCCACTTTGTTGTTAAGTAACTTCTTGAGGATGTTGAAGAGAAGCTTTGATGTTTGGAAAGCTTAATGGGAATACAGCTTTTATTTCGACTTTTGTTCCTTATTATATAATCCTTTGCTCTTGTCAATTGTTTGTAAATTTAGCATTGACGTAATGCAGGGAGTCTGGACTCCGATTAGCAAGCGGTCCTAGATGCTCTCAGCTCAAACTAAAGTATCTAACAACTTTCAGGATGTCTGTGAAAAAAGTTAGGCTTTTTGTTTGGTTGGGTTTTTTCCCCTTCTCATTTTCTGTAGTCATAAAGCATACAGCTTTCATAGTTTTTCGTTTAAGTTAGGAATTATTCACAAATACCATAGTGTCCTCAGTTAACAATTCATTCATTAGATAATGGAGTAAGTCACAATGGAATTTACTGCCTAACACTAGATTTTTATCTATGGTAGAAGTCAACATAGCACAATGCAGAGACCAACAGCTTTGTTCATTCTTGCTGTTAAAGAAAAGTAAGTCGGGCTTGCTGAATTGTCTAGAGACATCACCTTGTGTGCTGTCTGTATTCCTTGAATTGTTTGACTACCCTTCAGTTGCTCACTTAATGTGAATAAAGTGGTTGGTTCTTATGTCTGTCTTACCATAATCCTTTATCACAGGTCCTAGTGCCACCAATCTTATAATAGGCTCCATCGCTGGTGCCATCCTGGTAGCAGCTATTGTCCTTGGGGGGACAGGATGGGGCTTTAAGTAAGCAATGCCGCATGTCTTCTCTTCAGTGGCTATGGCATTTCTATTTCTTGCTTACATCACTAAATTTTGAGTTCCTGCTACAAGATTTCTAAGGTAACTCCCACCCCCAAACTATTACAAACTGCTTTAAAGAGAAAGAGTTACACGAGCACTGAACAAGAGGAGGAAATGGATTTGAAACTAGCAGATGCCATCAGGGTGCAAAGTTGAAGAACAATAAAAGAATGAATTTAACTATCAGGAGTTCACCCTAACCCTTAGGGAGCAAGATCTTTTTTTCACCTCCAATTGGTAGCGTTGTTCTCAGAAGTTGACTACAGTGATGAAAACCTCTGAAAGATACATGTCTTGAGGAGTGTTTATTTTGAATGCAGTAGTCCTTTCAAACTGATAAACATTTTTATAAATAAAGACTTCATGTGTAAATGGTGAGTGGTGGCAGTAGCTGAGTAGTTTTCAGTGACAAATGTGTTGGACACAGTTGACTCAGAATTACCAGACCTAACTTTTGTTTGTGGTTACTGATATTTATTATCAATTCACAATTTTTTTTAAAAAAAATCAGGTTCAGAGAGGACGTTTTGAAATCCTGAACTGTCTCCTGAAAGATGAAAACGTGTCGCAATTCTAGTTCAACGTGTTTCATAACTACAAAGAATAACATTCTAGTCATTCCGCTTGTGACCGTTAAAATGAAGAGAGAGTCTTGTACAAGGGTATTTAATTCTTGCTTTTTTTGTAGTGTCGAGTCTACCTACATATGTCGTCCATGTTTGGTAAAAAGGATCTAAATTTAGAATCAATGTTTAAACCTTGCAAATCATGGGAAAATTAAGCATAAAACCGAGTAATTTCTCAGATATTCAAGTTGCTGTTTCTTTTCAAGAACATGAATCAAGATTAAGCCGTGATACAACAATAAGCTGTAATTCCTCAACCAGGTTTTTATAATAATTCAAAAAACATTTTATATGCCCTATAGTCATATTCCGTATCTGAGATGAGAAGAAAAAAAATTATTCCCTAATTGATTAAGAAGGCTGTCAAAGTACAATATAGTGATCAGGTCATGTGTATCTGTTATTTCACGGTTAATTATGTTAATTATTACTTTGTGTTGCCCTGCCTGCCGCTATTGGTGCTTTCAGAAAGACACAGCACCTGCCACATTCATTTTTGTCCTAAGTGCTCATTCTGAGGGAAGCGACACTCCCTGCGCTGCCCCTTGGCACTGGCGAGAGCTGCAGGCATTAGCTGGGGGAGTCAGTGCCCCTCTCTGGCTGTAGCAAGAAAAGATGAAACACAAAATGTATCAAAACATCCATCTTGAAGCATGGGTGTGTTCTCTTCATAAGCCTTTTTAATTCCTTTCTTGAGCTGCTGTATTTTCTTTCTTACAGCTTCTTCTCAGTCACACAAATTAAATCCACTTATTGGTACAATAAATACCCCTAGGTCACCCTCCAGGATTAATACGTTATTACAGGGCAGCTCTAAACAACGTAGTTTCACCAAATCTATGTTCAAAGGCAGAAATTCAAATGAGGTGCATATTTTAGAATATGCAGTGACAGACATGGATTTGCATGTGGTATGAACACAAGAAGGAACTGGGATTCTCTTCTTTTGATGGATTGTAAGATTTCTTCTGTGTAAAGGCTTAGTCCGTAAAAAGCATTATTCCCAGACTCTACTGGGGCATATTCTATAGCATTAACTAATAAAAGTACATTTGCATTTTTTTCTGTTGTGTCCTACTAGATGCAGAATTATAGGAGAGAGTTCTCTTTTAACCTAAATAAAGCACATAAAAAATACATAAACATTTCAGTTAGTTGCAGAACTGAGGGTTGTCTTTTCCCTGCACTTCATTGCAATTAGCTTTTTAAATACAGAAAATTTTTCTGCAAGGCTTAACATTTCTGTTAAAATTTTTGATTTTTCGAGAACAACAATGCACACACATTTAAAATGATAATATTAGAAACATTGATATTGCAAGTTCCCATGGGAATTAAGCAAGCTAGGTTTTGTTGGAAAAAAATAAATGTCAGATTATGCTTTTGGACCAGTGTTCTGCTATCAGACATACGTCTGATTCTTAGCAATTCACATACTTGCCAGACAGTAGTCATCCCTAAATAATACATTTGTATTGCAGAAGGTAATTTGTTGAAAACACAGTACAAGTCATTAAAATATAAAATCTTTAAGCAGTTTCTTCCTCTTAATCTTTTTATGCTGTCTTGTGCCATAACAACCTTTGCTCTTTTTGCATCAGTGCTGCAGCACCTGCTCGCAGCTGTGGGAGCGGTGTGGCTGCTGACTGGGAACACCTACGCTCACGAACTTGCATGAACACAGAGCTTTTAGAAGCATCTCCCTGCCTGAAACAATGAAGTACTTAATTGATTTTTTTATTTCTTCTTTGTGTTTCACATCTCTCAAAATACTCTCACAAGTGTTCAGCTTTGCATCCTGGTGTCATTTGTTTGCCCAAATGTAGAAGGCTGTTATGCCTATAGAGGATCTGTATTGGAAAAGTCTCTTGAAGTTCTTATTCTCAAAAGAGCAAGATACGAATGCTTATTCTGTAGCAGAACCTCAAAAACACTGGGCTGGCCTAGCTCACAGCTTGAAGTGCATGTTTCTTCTGGGGGTCAGAGGGGAACTGAAAAGCCTTTTCAGCTTGTATACAAAAGAAGAGCTAGCACGTGTAGACCCTCTGATACTTTGCTTCAGATATATCTGGAGGGGCAGATGAGGATAATAAAGAGGATTTGAACATTTCCTTTTTAAGCAAGTGATATGTTTAGTCTCTGCAAATACGAGAGAAGATAGCTAATGCTTTACAAACTGGGAGATGTGATTTCTGTTTCACAGGTTATCAGATGTTCATATGAACATACGGTACTGTGCTGTCAAGTCCATATCAAACGTAAGCTGCAACTAAGCAAACTTTGTTCATGAACTGAGGTGGTGCAGGGTGGGGGTTGGAGGGGAAGTGTAAAAGAAGGCTGGATGCAAGTTTGGAGAAACAAAGTTAAAAAAAACAACTTCCAGTTTCAAGAATGAATCCTAGGTTCATTTTTCTAATCAAGTTAATGTGTGTATAGAATAGGAAAGAAAAAAGTTAACTGACAATTTTAGGGGGCATAGAGCTTCATTACACATTTCAGGTGGCTTAAAGTTAAAGGCTGTGGGTGGAAACCTTGTAAAGAAGCAGACTTTACTTCAGTTGAGCCTTGCATAGTACTTTTAAAGCTGTTGGTATTTGGACTGCAGTAAGGGAGTCCTACATATTTCTACCTGAACTCTGCTGGGTAATGTACAGAAGTAGAGCATTTAGGAAATGTGACATTCGTTTTGATGTAGCAAGTCTGTGCAAGATTTCAATATACAGTGTTTAATATACGAGTGTTATAGGAAGGACATTTTTACCATTAGAGTAGCTCTGCTGTGCATTGGCTGCAAGCGCAGTCTCGGGGGCCTACGCTCACTTTTTTTCCTAGCATACATTCAGTTACTTCTGCAAAGCAGCTGCAGTAATATAAGCCAATTAAATGCTTTTCTTGCCGACTTTACCAGTATTAAAGCAATTTTTGGTAATACAGCAACACTGCTAAGAGACAGTGCTAGTAAAAGCAATGTGGAAATGCATATGAAAAGCTGCTTCTCGTTATCTCAGAATGCAAAAGTGGCTGACAGAGAAGAGTTGATTGTAGGCACAATTCTATTTCCAGCAATTGTTTCTCAGCTGAAGAGCTGCAGGGTTTTCTGTCCCTTTAATGGAAAATTAATGGATGGACCAAAGACTTACCCAGTCCTTACAGATGCCAAGTTTTAAACGGGTCTGTGCAGATGCATTTAGACCCCCAAAGTTTCTGCAAGATAAGGCAGTGGAATGCTAATGGTGACTTTGTGAGGAAGGAGGTTTCGGTCCCCTACCGGCATTTCTGTAAAGCATGTATTGTGACCTAAATGCAGCCATCACTACACAAACATCAGCATTAGAATCAAACATGAGGTGTTTACTCACTTTTTTCCAAACTACTAGAATAAATAGCAGCTTAAAATAAGTCATTGACCTGCCAATTTTAGTCCCTCATTTTGTTAATTTCAATCAGTTCTGTAGCAAAAGCTCATTTATTTAATCTCTTCTTCAGTGTCTGAAGTGCTTCAGGAATGCCTCTGAAAATATTAGCTATAAGTAGTGGTTAAAATACTGGTTTTGGATAAATCTTTAAATGCTTAAGTAAAACTTTGTGCGATCGTAGGCAAAGGCACAGATTTGCAAGCTATGTAGCATGTAACCACATACCTAATTAGTTACAAAAACAATGCAGAGGATCACAGCAAGGTATTTCCTATATACATCCAGCCTTTTTTGAAACCAATTTTCTTTTCTGAAATATTTTTCATTTGGAAAGATGACCACGTTACAGAGGCAGTGATGTGCTGTAGAATGGTTTGCTTTTTTGATTCAGAATCACCTATAATTTTGTTTTTGTTAGAGACACTTTTTCTGGTTGGATTATAGACTGAAAACCTGATCCTCATTATTTAAACAAGCATTAAAACATTAAATGCAAAAAGAAGTTAACATTCTAAGATCTTCCACATAAAGAAAGAACTAGGAAACAGCATCATTCTCCTATGTGTCCTTCCACGGAGGACTCGCATACTAAAGGAACCTTGTACTACTATAATACATAGCCGTGAAGAGGTGCAAATATCCAGGACCTGATACTCACCTAGTTTCCTTTCATTTATTGTCATTTTCTTGGGGGAGAGAGAGACTTGTTCTATTTACTGATTAAGTAAGGCTACTGTTTTCATTCTAGTACTAAAATGGGTGGTAGTTCAGGATGAATTTGTTAAAGCAGGTTGGGAAATCAGAATAGAATTCCAATTCCTGCAGGTAACACCTGACTGCCTACCTCTGTGAAGTGCTGCAGTCGCAGCAGAGGGATGTGGCAGGCTCTTCTTCATGCTTTGCACATGCGTACTGTGTTCCCTTATTGACGCTGTACCTGATGTCCCGTATTTCAGAGACTATTTCAGGCTCTTATGTTAAATGTGCTTTTAGTTCTTCACATGTTTCTTTCTCATACAACACTGTTAGCAGAATATCCTAAGTGAAGAAAGGCAGTGGTTTGGTTAGTATCTTATTCCTTAAATGTGTATTTCCGTTAGATAAAACTAGGAAATGAGTAAATGTATGGTTTGGACGGATTACAGAATGTGCAGCAAGGGCACAGCAGACTTTGCCTGTTGCCCCATGGCACGGATGCCATCTGAGCTGTCGTACAACCGAATGGCCCTTACTGGAATACTGCACTGGTGGAGATCAGTTAGAAAAGATTTGATAGGATAAAAGTCAAAAGAGTTTTGTTGCAAGAGTTGTACTGGGAAGCTAGCATAGCGTCTGTGCTCTGTACCTTCTCCTAAGACTTGTAAAGTCCATTTCTTTAATTAGAATAAGCTCAGGTAACAGAATGTAATTCAGTGTATGTTCTAATGACTTGTCCTCTTCAAGCAAACTGGAATATGGTACTTTCCCTAGAGTAGGAGGACAAGTAACGTCATTTGGATTTTTTGCATGCATTGGTGATTTGTTTTAAGGGGACTGACTAATTAGTTGCTCATCGGTAGTGT